AGGGCCTCGTTTCTGAAGAAGCCGCCAGCGACGCTCCCGACACCGACCGACCGAAACGCGATCGCACGAAAGGCGATAGAGTCATCAGCGAAGGCGTCATGAGTGAAACGGTGCTGAGTGAAGCATACGATAGGCCCGTTTCTGACGGAGTGGTCACCGACGAAGACCTCAGTGACGCCGACGAGAGTGACGGACACGTCAGTAACGGACACGTCAGTGACGAACATGTTAGTGATGGACACGTGAGTGATGGACAGGTCAGTGATGGACACGCCACCGACGGACATGCTAGTGACGGATACGTCAGCGAGCGACATGTCAGCGATGCAGTCGTCGGTGATGGGGTCGTCAGTGATGGGGTCGTCAGTGATGCGGTCGTCAGTGATGGACACGTGAGTGATGGACACGTTATCGATGGATACGTCAGTGATGGACATGCTAGTGACGGATACGTCAGCGAGCGACATGTCAGCGATGCAGTCGTCGGTGATGGGGTCGTCAGTGATGGGGTCGTCAGTGATGGACAGGTCAGTGATGGACACGCCACCGACGGACATGCTAGTGACGGACACGTCAGCGAGCGACATGTCAGCGATGCAGTCGTCGGTGATGGGGTCGTCAGTGATGGACAGGTCAGTGATGGACAGGTCAGTGATGGACATGTCAGTGATGGATACGTCAGTGACGGACACGTCAGCGATGCAGTCGTCAGTGATGGGGTCGTCGGTGATGGATACGTCAGCGATGGACAAATGAGTGGTGGAGTTGTCGGTGATGGACACGCCAGCGAAGGCCACGCGAGTGATGGGCCCGTGAGTGATGGCCTCGGCAGTGATGGCCTCGGCAGTGATGGCCCCGTGAATGGCGGCGATAAGGGGGGGGTGAGTGAAGACCAAGAGCGTGTCGAGAGTGGCCCCGCCAGTGACGAACGTCCCGGGACGGACTCCGTCCCGATCTCCGAAGTCCGTTCGGAGGGAGGCGAGCGTGAGCGCGTTTCCACAGGCTTACGTTCAGTAGAGTCGGGAGAGCGCGAGGAGCTAAGCTCCCCGGACACGGAGTCCGAGGTTAGAGCGGGTTCGAGCTCGGCCCCGTTGGACCGGGCTGCGTCGGAAGACGGACTCCTCTCCTCGGACGACAGCGAGATCCTAACGGGAAAGAAGTCCGACCTATCGAACGGTCCTTCACTTGGGCGCAACGACGACAACCAGGACCGTGACAACCGGGACCGTGACCACCCGGACGGTGACCACGACCACCGTGACAAAGACCAAGACCACGACCAGGACGAGGAAGTTAGTCAGGATGACGAAGACCGTGGTCTGGAGCGTCTGTCGTCGACGTCGTCCGCGCTGTCGTCAGTCCTTTCGTCGCGCGTGTCGTCCACTTCACGCCCACGTTGGGATGAGCCGATATGGTCGCCAGAGATTGAGAGCGTGGAGTGTGTGGCTATAAGTGAGGACGCCGGCTCGTCGGAGCTAGAGCCGCGCGGCCAAGAATTGGAGGAGCTGGATCCCGCGACGTTGACTACAACCACCACGATCGTGCCGACCGGCGAGCCCGTAACCACCGTAACGACAACGAGGCGTGAAGTTACGGTCGTGAGCGAACTCTCCGACGACGACGATGACGAGACCTCGGCCTCCACCTCGGAACCTGCCCAGGAAGTCGACCTGTTGGACAGCGGTTCCGACAGGTTCCGGTCCAAGGACTTCAAAAACGACTCCCCCCATGACTCGCACTCTCACCTCGACTCGCACTCTCGACCGGGGTTCCGCCCCGACGTCATGTCCAGCGACCTCACTTCTGGACTCTCTGAACTGAACTCGGAATCCGACGTGAATCTCCCCGCGGGCCCTGACGACGTGGCGCTGGGAAACGTATCTCCGGAAGACGTGACCCCGGAAGACGTTTGCATGCGGCGGGAAACGGCCATACCGGAAACTGAAGGCCGTCGCAAGTCCTCCAGCTCCGGACTCGGCCGTTCCGAGTCTGAACTGGGCGGCGACGAGTCGGAACTGGGTGGCGACCAAGATGACGGGGCAGCGGAAGCCGGCACGGACGGGTCGCTACGTTCCGAAGGCGGTTACGACCCAAAGAGTCACGACCGAAAGAGTCACGACCGAGAAGGAAACTCGGCTGGCCCTGGTGGCCCCGACCGGTTGGGCTCAGGCTCAGAGTCTGAGTCGAGGTCGAGGTTATCGTCAGACGAGGAGTCGGTGGAAATTCGACGTGCGGAGGTGATTGGTGAGTACGAGCAGTTGCTGACGACGCCAGTAGAACCGGTGCCGGCTGCGACGACAGGTGTCATGGCTGACGTGTTTGTGGAGGAAGTGTTTTCTGACGCGACCAGAAGTCGGTCGCGGAGTCGTTCTGGGCGAACGACAACGATTGTGGAGTCGCAAACGACCACGACGACTGGTTGTGCGCCACGGCTGGCTATGGTCACCACCCAGACGCTCTCACGCGCCAACAAACTCCACCGCCTCCAGGACGCAACCAATTCGACCCGCCTAATCCTCGTCCGAGTCAACGAACAAGGCCAACTGCTCTGCCCCTGCTGCGCCGAAGAAATGCATGAAGCATTCGACATACGTACCCTCGAAACCGAAACCGAAGCCTGGGACCACGACGTCCAGACCTCCTGGTCCGTACGCCAACTACCCAGCGACCGAGAACAAACTTGGTACCACGAAACCAGCCACGTTCACTACCACTAATTCTTGACACACCGCGGTGTGCCGGAACAAAGTGATAGACCCGAGTCAAACAAGAGGCCGAGCAAGTCAGGCCCAAGCGAGCACCCAGGTCCAGCAGCTAGTTTTATTGGAGCGCCTGGAGGGGTCGCGCCTGTGTGGGGCCCACATTTTTTTAGTCCAACAAAAGGGTCGATTGGTCGACCACTAGGACTGGTGGACCACAGCGGGTCGGCCGCCCACGGGAAGGGGAGACTGCCGCGGGAAGGGGAGGGTGGTTCGGTTTGGTACCTTGCGCAGGGGAGGTTAATCGCTGGCGATGTTGATGCTGCCTTCGAGTTTAAGGAGGGGCGGGGCGGCGGTGAGGGTTGTGGCGAGATCAAGAGAGTGGTCTTCGTCGTCGTCGGTGAGCAGGAGTTCTTTGACGGCACGGCAGTGGTGTAGCCAGTGCCTAAGGAAGTCTGCAGGCGGTAGTACGCTTTTGAGATAGTCGATGAATATGCGTCCTTTATGCAGTTCCTGTAATTTACGTGCTTGGCAGAGGCGGCGACCGAGGCTGTCTGCGACGTTTCTCTCGCACCAATACATGAGTTGGTCGACTGCGCTTTGCACGATGCGGTGTGCGGCTTCCTTAGCTTCACGTGTGCTTTGTTCACACTGTTCGATGAGGGCGTCTATATCCGCGATTCGTTCGGCGACTTTTTGTTTCCTGAGTCGTATGGTGTTGGCTGTGGGACCGACGAAGCTCGAGTCTTCGAGACCCTGAGCGAACTCCTCGCCTTTGTGCCGTGCGTAATCGGCTAGAATGCCGTGATACGCGTCCAGCAACGGCACCAGCGGCGGATCCGGCTGTCCGTGTAGGTGCGCGTTCTTACAGAGCACACAAATCGGCGTCTCGCACACCAGGCAATAATACTCACACTCCTCCTGCCGATGCACTGTACACTGCCCCATCGTTTCCGGCGGCGCCTGGTTCAGCGGGACACGTAAGTGCCGACTCAAAATTTTGTTGTCCACATGCAACGCCTCGTTGCAGCCCGCACAAAGCCGTGCATCGTCCGCCACGCAGTACATCTCCGCAGGACTCTGACGACAATGACTGCACACGGGGATCCCGAAGGCCTCCTTCGTTAAGGGGTACACATCGACGGTCACTAGGAAACGTGGCGAGATCTGCGTGCTGTCGAAAACCCGGATCTCGATGCCCTTGTGAAGACTCTTGGGCAACAACTCATCCTCGCGGCCTCCTAGCCCTGACGTCGTGTCCAGCAATCGGAAGTCCAAATAGGCCGCACTCGCCCGGTCCGATCCTTCAGGACCCGCGGCCGAGCTGTGCACCGCCGCGCTATTTATCACCAACAATGAGTCGTAGTCCGGCGGCAGCGAAATTCGCTTCACATACTTGGCCTCCGCCCACGAACTCACGGTGTAGGGCACCCCAACGCACACATCGCAAAACAACAAGTCGTATGATATCTTGTCCGGCTGGTGCTCTGTGGAATCAATCCAACCGGCAAACGAACCCGACTCGCCACCCACCAAACCCGGGCCCGAATCGCCCCCCACCCCGCGGCTACCCATCACCGGCAAGTCCAGCCGCCCGAACTTAACCGTGATCCCCTCCTCACCCAACACGAACCCCCGTCGACACACGTCGCTCTTCTTATTCTCACCACCCAACTCGCTCACCGAAATCCAGCACGGCACCGTAAACTTATCCACGCGACGCTTCTCGAACCCAATCTCCGTTCCCGTACTCGCCACGCGCCACATCGCCGTTATCTGCGCCTTCGAGGACCGCGCACACAAACCCAAGTACGCAGACACCGCATCCCACTCCACAGAGCTTGGCTCCACCAAAACCAGCGGCAAACCCGTCGTTCCGTGCATAGCACACGCGTGTGCACACGCCCGCGCCCGCCCAGTTCTAGGTCAAAAACGGCGAAAAACGGCCACAAATTTCGCCAAATCCGACAGCTTGCGGCACCACTCAGGGGCCCCACTCCCCTGCGGCCACATACAATACATCAGATCCAGTTGTCAGACCAAGAGGCGGTCCGCAACGAGCATTATATTTTGTAGTGAGCAGTTTATTCTGCTGCAACGAGCCCTTTACTCCGCGGATCTGTAATAAAACGCTATCGGCTTCCAGGTCTCCTGTTGCGGAACTTGATCGATATCGTAGACGTCGTAAATGATGTTGGACGGCCCGCTGATGGGGTAGACCATGGGGACCGCAGCATGGACGTTATGGCCGGGCAGCTTCGCGAGGGAGGTGACCATGGGGTTTGCGTCCAGGATGGAAATGGGCGCGCTGGTCTCGAGTCCGTTTTTCAGCTGGATGTTCGCCACCGCAGAGTTCAGCAACGGGTCGTAGGGACCCAGGGAGCGTCCAGCAACCTGACCAGTTCGGCTTCCGGACGTGTAGGCCGGTTCTAATCGCGGTGCTGTCGCCGACCCTGCGTTGGGCGACGAGCGGGAGTCTGCGGACCGGGCAGCGACGGAGTACGCCACTACGCCGGTAGCGCCGGGGTAGTGGGTAGCGGCAGGCTGCCCAGCAGTGCCGGGGTACTCCGCAGTACCGGGGTAACCGGTAGCGCCGGGGTAAGAGGCCATGGTGGCGGCAACGGCCGAACCGGCGGCGGAGCCTAGAGGCGCAAGCGACTTGGGCAGAGTGGCTAGCGGCGAAGTTTTGAAGCTGGTTGCAACGGAGCTCGCAGCGGGTCGAGAAGGCGCGCGTCCGCTGGAGACGGTAGTGTAGGGAGCGCTGGTGGCGGAAAGCGGACTGGCGGCGTCGCTAACGGCCATGGCGCCGGTTACGAAGCTGGCGCTGGCGCTGGCGGTAGTCAGTTGTTTGCTCGGGACTGGTTTAGGGCCAACTAACGTCCGGCCGGCGCCGATGGAGGACCTGAGGGGGCTCGTGGTGGACGCGAAGGACTGGTAGCCTCGTGTGGACGGCGCTGCGGTAGATAGGGCGCTATTATAGGTGTTGTTGTTGTAGGGTTTCATGTTAAAAAATGTTTGCGATACCGCTATCGAACACGGTCGGAAACGGTCGAATCGGGCTCGAACAACTTGAACAGGTGGGACTTGAATGCTGGTATTGCCGTGGCGCTTGTGGTGGTTGTCCCTGGTTGTCTCTGCGCTGAAACCGGACAAGTCCGGGGACAAGTCCGCGCTTGACCGGTCATTGGACAAGTCTGGAGCGGACAATGGGTGGTTATCGCCGGCCAAGTCGATGGTGACGGTGGTGGCGGTGGAGCGGCGGTGTCCGGGGCCTGAGTACCGACTGGTGGGTGGCGACACGTGTGTGGCGGCGCACGAGATGGCGGCGGAAATAACCTGCAAGAGCGGAGCACGACTGGAAAGAGGACAGTGCGTCGTGATGGAATACTTCCCTCCGGAGCGCGTGTGCCCAGCGAACGCGGCTTATAATGGGGAACGGTGCGACTTGGTGGAGACAGTGTATCCGGAAGCGCGCTGCGAGCCGGGTGACGTACTGGTCAACGGTGAGTGTTGGAAGAGTGAGCAGCGCGCGGGCACGCAAAGCTGTCCCAAAGGCTACTACACACACCCGGACCGACCGGACCGTTGTGTATTCGTGAGTGCTACCTCGCCCGACTTGGTATGCCCACCGCAGTTTGTGAAGAATGATGGGGGGCTCTGCGTCCGTTCAGACTCGCGACCGGTTCAGCAAAACTGCCCACCCGGAACGCTGATGCACAACAGCTTGTGCGTCTCGCCGCATGATGAGGCGGAGCCACGACGTAAGTGCAGTTCCGGGGGCGAGTTGGATGGCCAGGGTCGGTGCGTCTCAGTCACTGCCGTCGAGGCCGACATCGTCTGCCCGACCGGCTTCGCCATGAACAACGGCCGTTGCGACAAGCCCGTTGAAACGCCCCCCGCTCTTCGCTGTCCGCCGCTTTTTGTGCTGCAAGGCGACCAGTGCATTCGATCGGTCCCTGCAGAACCATATTGCCGAGGCGACCGCGAGACGTTGACGGGAGCGAACACTTGTGTATCTCTGCACTCGGAGCCGCCCGTGCGCTCTTGTCCTCAACGTTCGATATTAACACCGGACGGTCGTTGTGCTGTGCAGGTCGTATATGAGAACGACGTTGATCTGGTGTGCGACGGTCCTTACACACTTGTGGACCATGTGTGTCTGCGAGTGGTCAAATCTCACGATGTCCTCGCCTGCCCCCCAGGTTACGAGTATTCCAACTCCAGTCAGAACTGCGAACTCAGCAAAATCGCCACGGCCGTTCCATATTGCGCCGGCAATAGCGTCTATGATTCCGACTCCGGTCAATGTCAAACCGTCACCACGTCCGACGCTGTGATAACGTGCAGTCGAGGTTCCGAATGGGATCCTAGCACACGGGATTGTCGTGCCAAAAAAATCTATCATGCTGCCCTTGATTGTCCAGATGGATTTACACTTAGAACCAACAAACCAGATTCCAACAGAGGTGACCGTCAAGGAGGTGGTGACCGTCAAGGAGGTGGTGATCGTCAAGGAGGAGGGGATCGTCAAGAAAATAAGGATCGTCAGGGAGGAGGAGTCGACTCTAGGAATATCGGTGGAGTGGCTGAATGTCAGAGACATGAAACATTAAAGGCAACAGCAAGTTGTGGTGATTTGGGTGAATTGGATGATGCACAGGATACATGTGTTCGGCAAGTCATTCTCGAACCGGTAAAGAAATGTCCGGACTCATTTGAGCGTGAGGGAGATAAGTGCAGACAGGTTATGGAAACTTTGGCTCTTAAGATCTGCCCAACTGATTACAAACAAGTCGGGAATGCATGTGTTGGCAAAGCACCTACACAACCACAAACTCTGAGTCCAGAAGATCGACGTCTTCTTATTGAAACATTACAAGGATATGCCACTGCAGCACAACCCAAAAAATCCAACTCCAAAAAAAAATGGCAACTATCAGATAACACTGAACCTGCCACCACTGCCACCATCAAAGATGACCAAGAACTACTCGGACTCGCCGCCGATCTCATTAATAAAATCAACAAGATCAAAGCCGTCAAAACTAAACAATAATCTCGGTAGTCATCCTGACATTCAGTGGTCCCACTGGCACCCTCATTCGAGGCCCCGCCCCTCATTCGAGGCCCCGCCCCTCATTCGAGGCCCCGCCCCTCATTCGAGGTATCCGCCCCTCATTCGAGGTATCCGCCATTAGGTATCCGAAGCGTCCCTTCCAGTCCTCACTTTATTTCCAACCCTCGCTTTAGTTCCAACCCTCGCTCTGGACTAGTCCTGTTTACTTCCGCTTCAGTTTGTAGCCGGCAGTTTTTACTTTATTCTGCAAAGTCCTATATTTCTGCTTAGCCTTATCCAATGCCTTTGCCTGTGCTCTCTCAATAAAGGGGTCGCCGTAAACCTTTCTCCCTCCCTTGTGCTCAATAATGAAGTCTCGTTGCTTCTCTGCTTTCCTCAACGACCGTCCTCCGAATCTTAGCTTGTAGTTCTTTTCAATGTCGTCGAAGACAAACGCTGAACGCTTCCCCTTCTTCTCAATTCCTTTCGCTTTAGCGAACTTCTCCCACGTGGTGCTTGTAGCCTTGGCCACTGGACACGGCTTGCCTCGAGGCAGCACGACTTTCCGGTCCGATATGTGATCCAATACTCCCATCACACCTTCATCTGTCTTCTCACGTGGTAATTCCTGGATACAGCGGTGCACCATCTGACTCACATTCCGACGACATACTTCTTGATACTCACTGCACAAATATACACATGTGTGTTACAACGTATGTGTTTCACATCCCCCCCCTGGCACTTCCCCCCTGGCACTTTGCACGCACATCCCCCCTGCATATGCCTTACTCGCTCCCGACAACAGACTCCGTTAAAGACTCGAAAGAGTCCCCAATAAGGTTATGAAAGCATATAGTCAGAGCCGGCATCCTTTTTAAATCAGCCGCGAAAAAAATGAATGCAGTGATCATCCCATGATGATGGGTGCAAACCTCTGTCATGATCACAATTCCTTCTGCCGCCTGCTTATTTCCTTGCAATTACGCTCCTTAGTTTGTTGTCACGTTACGTTGTGCCCTTCTTCTGCTTATCGAGTGGGAATCCAGTTCACGCAGCTCCCTCCCCAACCGTTGGACTTACCTCTATATTTTGGCGACCAAGAGCGTCTTCCGTCGACGGCCCCACTTGGTGGCGAGAATGCCCATGGCGGAAGCTCCGAGTAAGTCAACGAGCAGGAGCGCGACCATGGTGTATCGGAACTACGTAAATTTTGGAGTAAGGATCAGTGGTGTGTGTGTGTGTGGTAGGTAGTGTCTTACGGAGTTGGTGGGCATGGGGACTAGTTTAAGTAATTTGTTGAGTTCTGGTAATATTTCGAGTGCGACAATGAATATGACGGCGATGAATGCACAGAGTGTGCGTGAGAGTATCTTGAAATCTTTCCAGGAGGTGAGGAAGGGTGCGCCTTCGTAGTTGCCTAGGAATGTGCTAGCGTGTTGTGCGGCGTCCATGAGGAAGACGACAGTGTTGACAAGGTTGGGTTGGAAGGGTCCGTCCATGGGTCCTGAGGGTGTGTCTGAATGTGCGCGTGCAAGGAGCCAGGCAGCGGCGCAAGTGGCGACATGTACGGCACTTTGGGCGACAATGGAGAGATAGAAATGTGGGTCGAATAGGGAGTCGATGACACGATCGCGCGAAATTGAATTGGCGGCTCGTGCATTGCTCACAGACATGTAGAGCACAGAGACAAATAGACTTTCGGCTGTTGCTTGACCGTCCCCAAACTTAACTCCGTTTAGTGTAAGCACACTTAAACTGAATGCCATAGTGATGGAGTTGAGTGCCATAAGCTTGTAGTTCATCATCACAATGGCCAGTGTCGCCTTACCCATCCGCACCAATAACTGGATGCAACGGATTGATTGCCCTCGATACGTGAAAGGACTAGCCATGGACGCATCGCCCGGACGCAACATTACGCCGTCGTCAAATTCATCCAACGCCGTTGCCAGACCAGATGATGACTGCCCAGCCACCTGTGCCAAGTTGTTTTGGGCCATGCGCTCTTCTAACGTTACAATGTTCTTGAATAACATGGGCAACAGACGGTTCCTCCAGGACTCTGGCAAGGCTGCTAACTGTGTACGCTGCGCCACGAATTGCGACTCCATACGCTCCAATTGTTGAATCTGCTTCGCATTCAGACCGAGTCCCAACCGCCGTTTTCGAGATACATCCACCGGCTCCACAGACAAGTCCAGCCGCTTCGCAGCCGCCTCGCGCTCAGCCTTGTTCTCCACAATTTTCTCCACTTCGAAATTCAATAAAGACACACCCACGTGCGCCGCTTTTAGAGCACCCACGTCATTCGTGCCGTCACCACACATCAATGTTGTCTCACCTGCACGATTTAACACTTTCAATATCACCTCCTTCTGAGCCGGCGTCACACGTGCGAATATCGTACATAACGGCAACACAGTTTCCAACACGCGCTCCGACATATTAGACATCACTGCACCAACCAGCACTAAACTACCACCACTGCCATCTAACCGATTAACCTCATCTAACCGATTAACCTCAACTACACGCTCTTGTTGCCGATCGCGCGTCACTAATCGCACACTCTCCGTCAATAAGGATTCGCTCTCCCCTCCCATCTGAGTGGTCTCATCAACCTTCCCCGGTCCGGTTGTGGTCTTGGTTAAGAGTTGTTCGGCCGAACTTGAGAGGTCTGTGAGTCGCTCGTCGGTATAATCTGCGGTACCGTCTGCCATGGGGCTGTTGTTGTGGTTGAGAACCTCGGCGATTAGCCATACCTCGTTCTCGGGGGGTACCATGCCGACTTGTTGTGCGATGTGTGCGGCGGTCCTGGGGTCGTCGCCCGTGATCATAACTGTGGCGTGGCCGGACTGACGAAGAACCCGGATGGTCTCGACGGTCTTAGGTTTTATAGGGCAGCCATACACCAACAGTCCGCCACATTCCAAGTCGGCCTCCAGCGTTTGGCGCTCAAGTGTGCGTGCAGCCTGTGCGACCCGTGGCTCAACCTCCTTCCACGCTACACCTAACACACGTCGGCCTCGCAGCGCCAACTCATCCACCTTGCCCAAGTACCAATCCGGGATTTCCCCACAGAGCGCACCCACCGTCTCCGGGGCTCCCTTACAAACCACAAAATGTCTCGCACTCCCCCCCGGGGTACTCCCCTCCAGACGAATCACCGATGTCTGACGCCGGAACTCCGAAGCGAACGGGAACCGACGCAATACTTGCACACGCGACCCCCCATGCACATACTCCTCTGTCTGATTCAACACCGGACTCCATTGCACCAACTGTGCCGCCGTCTTCTCCAACGGATCACCGATTATCTGTAACGCCTCCTCCACCGCCTTACCACCCGCCTGTCGCATGTGCGCAGGCAACCGCGATCGCTTCTTCACCGCTATCAGCGAATTGCAACATCCCATCGCCAACCGAGCACCCAATGCAAGCTCCTCTACACCGCATGGGGGACTCCCGGACGTGAGGCCACCGGACGTGAGGCCACCTGGGGTCGAGGGGGTCTTGCCTCGTTCCTTGGCATCGCGTTCGGACACGACCGCGAGCGCATCAACGCATTTGTTGTCCGGCGTGTAGATGTTCTCCAACACTACTTCGCTAGTGGTGAGTGTGCCCGTCTTATCGAAGCAGCAATAGGTGAGTTTGCCGGCCGGTGGGATCCGGAATGGTTCGGTGCAGTAAAGTTTTTCCTTGAAGAGAGCGTTGACTGAAGCGTTGACGGTAATGGACATGGTGATCGGTAACTCCGGTGGGACCACAGAGGTGATGATCATGACGCAGTGCAGCAGCAGCTTGTAGTGGTTACGGTTGGGCAGTCCCCAGCTATGCCAGAGCACGTAGCCAGAGGCAAAGACAGCGACAATGGTTAGGACCAAAAGAAAGAGGAGGGCTTCCTTGCTCGAACTGGTCGAGTTCTCAGCACTGTACAACACGGTCCGGATCAGTTTACCCTGAGTAGTCTGGAAACCCGTTCGAAGACAGTATAAGGCTGCACCACCCACGGACTCCGCTTCATTCGCCACTGGGGTCTCCGTCAAACACGTCGTCCCCGCATACAGCGTATGGATCTTGTGTTTGTTCGTCATGTCATACACCACGTGCGAATCAACGGAACCCGTCACCCCGGTTTTCATCTGAGGCAACGATTCACCCGTCAGCATCGCCTCATTCACCACCATCGAACCCCGAACAATTATTGCGTCACAAGGCACACCCACACTCTGCTCTTCACCTGCAAAACGGGTCTTGGGAATCGGACTGCCCCCGGGGTACATCGCTACACTGCGCAGGTCGTTGTTCATAGCAAGACTGAACAAATCACCCGGCAACAAATCCGCACTGCTCATCTTCCACCACTTGTTCTGACGCAAACACAACACTGGCGTCGGAGGCATGTGCATCGATTTAATCTGTCCCAAGTCTCGACGACGCCGAGCTACCATCTGCGCCTCAAAGGCAACCAAAATACCCAAACTCACCAAACTGTACTGCCAATACTCATCCAGCAACCAAAGCAACATACAAAATATCTGGAACACGAACAAAGGCTGCACTGCATGTTCCGCAAATAGCTCCATAAAACCAGGCGTCGGAATGTCCTGCAAATTCCGACCGAAAACCTTCATCGCATCGTTTACGTGAACCTTGGTCTTCAGCCCTTCGGCAGCTTCGTAAAAACGGAATTCCTCCTCAATACTGTACTGAGGAGCCAGTAAAACTAGTCTCTCCCCGTCCCCATACGTCGTGTACTTTATTGCGCGCTCAGGATGAAACTTGGCAGGCGCAACAAGGTATATTTTCGAATTGTAGGTAACGACCGGGCCTTCGCGCACACGTGTGCGATCGATTTTTCCGTCGGCGTCAATTCGATATCTGTACCCCTTCCGGATCACGCAAAAGGCCGCCTTCCTCCCCGGGGATTGGACCATCAATTCTGTAGCAGCATCCAGAGAAGTGACGTCCTGATAGTACGCCCAACGGCGGTATTTTGGAAACCAAGAAGGCAACAGGAAACACAAGATAACAGAAATCACGCCAAGAGCCCAGGCAGCGCACACCATCAGCTTCAGATTGTTGGCCTCGAGCAACGGGTCCAGTAGCGGTATGGGTATGATCTCGGCAGGATACAACCTGGGAACTCCCGCCGGCATCTTCGATGCGGCATCAAATAAAGACAAAATGGCGGGACAACTGGCCGCAGAGAGGCAGAAACCACCATGCTCAGACAAAATTTCCGCAGCACTTGGATGCCAGAGATCCCATGTTTGCTTCGTCTAAACAGACAATATGTGAACGTATGTAGTATTAGCATGCTAGGCTAGCGAACAGAGGACACGTGTCGTGAACATCTACCGACTTACCAGAAAAAGGAGAAGCGGTACAACAACTGCCAAGTTAATCCATATGTCTTTCCTCACCAGGGGAAACCCTAGTTTCCTAACGGCGCGCAAACTTGTCGGCTCCTGCCCCGACGCGTCCATCAATTAATTAAAATGAAGCGCGGCAGAGGCGGTGCTGGTCGAGGCCACGCAGCAAAGGTACGCAACATCGTTTGAGATAATTTTGTTCCAGAAACAAAGAGCAGCCGGCGTTCCAGCGGGCAGCAAAGGCTTCGTGGTGACCGCCGTCCGGCCGAACCGAATCAACCAAAGCTTGAATGAAGTCCAGAAATTGAGTGAACGGGTAAGCTCACCTACATACCCTGTTTGGTACTGCGTTAACACCACAGTGATCACCCTTACCACTACACGGACTACTACATTGACCACCCATACTGACCACACTGCGTACTCTCCGGCTATGATGACGAAAGGCGACTCTGAGTGGTGGGCCAAGACCCAGTCCACGGTGATATGCAATTAAGTTTTCAACCTGAGCCCAAAAAGTAGCCTTTGCCGGTCGACATGTTACGACGGTATACATGTTCCTGTGTGTATGTAGATCCTTGTATCGAGGAAGCAGGATGCTCCGATTGTGGAGGCATCCGCTGAGCCCACTAGCTTTGTGAGTGGTCTGGCATCGGAAATAGCATCTGTGAAGGACTCGGGGTGGGGGAAGTACGATGTGTGTCGGAACGTTGGGTTCTTGAGTATGCCGAAGGATTGTCCATTGAGCGCTGCGGAGTTATGTTTAGCCGTATGCGAATTTATTAAGACTGAAAGGCGCGTGATTGTGCGCGATACTCTCCGGATCATCCCCATCGAGACCACGACCGGCATTACCTGGGACGCTTTCATCCACTCGAGCTGCCTCCAGTTCCTTCACACCCTTTTCGACGCGTCGCCCACCACCTGGAAGTGCGACCTGAATAAACGCAATAACTCTGTTGGCTCGCGCACTCTCCTCTTCGACATCGCCCATGCACTCAGTCTGGGTGTGGACGTCGCCACCGTCAAAGAGGCAGCGATTGCAGACCGACAACGCGAGCGGGAGGACGCAAAGAAACCACCCATTGTTGTGGCGCAAAGCCCCGTGGGGAAAAGCACGTCCGAATACGACCAACAGAAGGAGGCCGAAGCACACGCGGCTGCGTCAGAAGCAGAGACAAAGAAGGGCGTGGCTATTGATTCGGAAGAGGGTGTTGTTTCGGAAGATAAAATGGAGTTGGCCAAGTTGATTCTTCCGCTACTGGAGAGCGCCTCGACCGGCCACCGGATCATAATGGATGAACCCCAGTTGACTATCTTTTACGAGTTCAACCAGGCGTTTGCGGGGGTCGGCGCCTGCACTGGGTTTGCGGCGAACCGAAAGTTTAACTTGTTCGAATTGCAAAAGGAATTCGTCGGAGACGTTGCCAGCGACGCCGCAAACGATGATGCCGGAGACGGTGGCGAAAAGACGGAAGCCGCCCCGGCCGCTGACCCGGAAGGAGGTGTGACGTCCGGCTGAGGCATTTCTTTTCGCCTTCCTTTGGACCCAGGATGTTCCCCTCCGCTGGGCGGACTCCCCTCAGCAGAACAGTCCCACTAATATTCACGGCGTGATGTTACGACTTTGTGTCACGGGGTGGTGCCACGGCGTTGTGTCACTTTTTTGTCGACCCCGTTCGGATGGACTCGCTTAAGAGCGTTCCACCCCATGCCAAAGAGGGCTGGCCCGGGTGGCTCGACTTGTTGGATAGCTCGGTATGCACTCTTTGAGGGTCTCTTTTCTAGGCGCACTTCTTCACGGAACAACTCCTGGGTGGGCTGGTAGTTCTGAACGTTCGTTAGTTGGTAGCTCCGAACGCATGTTGGTCTCGGGAGCTGTTGGTAGCTAGTGGTTCTGTGTAGGGAGTAGCTCTAGCTTTGGGTAACGAGTAACTCTGGGGTTTTCTTCGGTGTGGGTGTACTTCATTGTGGGCGTCCTCCAGGCGACGCCTCTAGTGGTGTGTGTCAGCGCAGAGAGCACCTAACTCGTGGTCCCCAGCTCTTGGTTCCAGGCTGTGCGTTGCACGGGTGGATGTATATACGCTACATGGGTGAGGGATCCCGTGTGGCGTGTTCGATCATTGCTCCGGACGGTCGGTTGGACGGTCAAGGTGGCGGGGTGGTTGTTTTGAGAATGGCGTCTAGGAGCCGGTCTCGCGCCTCAATGACGAGTTGGCGGTCGGGTGCGGAGAGAACGTTGAGTTCCGCAACGGCCTGTTTTTCGAGGTGGTTGACAAAGTCCTGCGGATCCTCCAAGGCGCCGAGGGCGGAACGCCAACGTTCGAGTTCCAGTCTCTGTTCTCGCGCCAACGGACGTGGCGGCGTAACCACCACCTCCGACTGTTCTTGCGAAACCGCGCGCCGCTTTCGCGGAGCCACGACTACGGCCGTCTCCACGACCAGTGGCGTTCCACGTTTCTGTGGACGCGCCTCCGACTCCGCTGCCCGGGCGGACGATTTGGCCGCGGCCCGAAGCGCCGCCGGCTGAGTCGCGGCCTGAGTCGCTGTCGCCGACGGCCGAGTCGCTGGCGCCGCCTCCTCCGGTTGAATCGGCTTGGGCTGAGGCGGCTCCACCTCAAAACCTGGCGGAGTCGCCTTTGGCTGAGCCGCTATCACCTCCACCGGTATAGGTGCTGCGGTCGGAACGGACTCCGGCTGACTGACCACTGACTGAGTGGCCACTCGCGGAGTCGTATCTGACCGTCCACGAGCCGCGACGTCCGGAACACGGCCGGGAACGGCAGTTGCCGCGCAGGTCGCGACCACTGGGGGCTTCTTGTTCGCCCTGCGGACGTCCGTAGCCACATGAACCGTGGCCGGCGGCTCTTGCCGCGGCCCGGCCGTCTCCACCAAGGGTGCTTGGTCCGCGACGTGTCCGGACGCGGAGACCCCGGTCGCCAGCAGCACCGAAACTTCTCTCTGCGATACCGGCGGGCCAAGGACAGGCGCTGCCTTGGCAACGTCCTGTGGAATACTGGGCGCCTGCTTCGCGGCCACGGGTTGGACCGGACTCATTTGCTGTAAGATACCTCCCTGCGAAACAAGACGCCCCTGCGAGGCTGAAACTCCCTGGAGGACCGGACCTCCCTGGGGGACCGGACCTCCCTGTGGGACCGGACTTCCTTGTTGAAAGAGCCCTCCCTGCGGGACGGGGTTTTTCGTAACGGAGGGATTTGCAGAGACCGGTGCGGGGCTCGCCTTTGCTTTCGCGACGGGTTCGCCACTAGGCACTCCGACCCGCTGTGGCTGGTCTTCGCTGGTTGGTGCTCTTGTGGCGGAAGCGGGCCCCGGTCTGGCGGCAACGGACTCGACCGGAGCGGGGTTAGTCGCCGTGGCCTTGGCTGTAGCGGGGTCAGTTGTAGTGGCAGCCGCCTTGGTAACTGCCACCTTGGCCGCAGCCGGTTTGGTCACGACCGGTTTGGGTACGACCGGTTTGGGCACGACCGGTTTGGGCACGACCGGCTTGGTCACAACGGCCTTGGTCACAGCTGCCTTGGTCACAGCTGCCTTTGTCACAGCAGTCTTGGTCACAGCAGTCTTGGTCACAGCTGCCTTGGTCACAACTGCCTTGGCCAGGGTCGGCTTGGGCAGAGGTAGAGCGGTCTGGGGGGGTTCGGAAGGAACCTCATTCATGGGAGACGCCCGGCCTTCACTGGGCGTCGCCTCGGACTCGACGATTTCACCGAGCTCGGCGGAGCCCGGCGCACTAGCATGGGCAGCATTTTCGGAGCGTTTCCCACGTTTTAGTTTCATGATGGTTTCGAAACTCATTGGACCAGCGAAATCCTTGCCGGCTGACCCGGTTGCGCGAGCGGCCACATTCTCCACCGCCACGGCCAGTAGCGACTGCTTGGTCGGGGGCTCCTTCCCCGCGCCCCGTGTAGCCGGTCGCGGCTTTGCACTTGCTCTATGTTCCGCTATTCGTTGTTGCTGCTCAGTCTGGTCAGCGATAAAACCCGACTGGGTGGAACCTGACTGGGCGGAACCCGACTGGGGCTGAACAGAGGACTGGGCGGAATTTGACTGGGACTGAACAGAGGACTGGGAGGGAGCCAACTGGGAGGGAGCCGACTGGGAGGGAGCCGACTGGGGCTGAACAGAGGACTGGGCGGCGGGAGCCGATTGGGCGGAGACCGGAGAAGAGGTTCTGAGAAGGCCTTGGGTTCTGGTTTCGGCTTTACCCGAGGCGGTCTTGCCTGCGGTGCCTACGGGCGTCGGCGGAGGCGCTTTGGGGGTCGTCTTGGTTGATCCATTGTTAGGTGCCGGGACGGACTTTCTACTTTTCCAGCGCCGGACAGCGTCCTTTAGTTCTTCGGCGTGTTGCTGCGCATCAGGCGCCGCCTCCGCAACTCCCATGGGTAGAATAAGCGCTTCCTACAGCCGGCAGGTCTGATAAGTATGCGAGATGTTGCTTACAGTCTTTGCTACTGCACTACCATTTTGCATTGTTTTCAGGGGAGAAAAAAAGGCACACATCAGCTGGCCTTCGTACTGGTTCACCGCCTGATCCCCCCCCCCCTCTTCTGGGCGCCACCTTTCTGGAACCGTTCTCTGTGGGAACTGTTTTGTGCCTGGGAGCCATTCTGCGCCTGGGAACTGTACTGGCTGAGTCTCCACACTGCCTCCACACTGCTCGCCTCCACAATGTTGGTCTCTACGCTGCTCAGTTGCCCTGTTCGCTTACTCCGTTCGCCTATTCTGTTCACCAGATATGTATCCGGATGGCGGGCGGACTTAGGTTCGAGCGATCATCGGGACAGTTGGTTCCTTGACGACATCAGCGAAGCGCTTGGACTTCATGAGATTGAAGAGACACCAGATAGTGTACTTGCTTGGTGCCGTCTCAGTTTGTGCCTCGGTGGGTACCGGAGGTGACTTTTTAGAGTCCCGCAAGCCTTCCCATTTTTGTTTATTGAATAGCGCACGCGTGTTTGCCTGAACGAGAGTTTCGGCCTCTGCAGCGTAGGAGGAGACTTCATCGACAAGAGGGAGAATGATTAGTTGCATGTACCCTGCCTGAGTACGAGCAAAGGCGGAGTGCAAGGAGCGATCGCAGAGTGGTGATATGGGCATGCCTTTTTCATTCTCTTCGGCGCCTTGTTGATAAAACTCTTCTTGTAGGCGTAGCGTCCAGTCGAGATGTGCGGGCCAGTCAAGAACGGCATGGCCGAGATCCGCCATTTTGAAGAGCATTTGGACGGCCATATCACGATCATTGACATCATCTATGGGATTGAATTCTGGACTTGCGCGACGCACACGGGATTTGGAAACCATTTCAAAGTGTCGAGACATGTCGAGAGCGAGAAGAAATTCAACAAGGAATTTTCGTGTGGTCATTAATTCATCACGAGAGAGTTTGCTTAGGATATTAATGTCTTCCTGGGATGCCATTAAAGATTGGATCATGAAACACGTTGTCGTCTCCAATACGGCATTGTCATTTTGCGCAAATGCTAATAAAGAATCTCCCTGAATATAAAACAGATTATTCCTTCCAGAATGACCGATGCAATGTCCTAATCCCGCCGTCACGTATGCCACGATCTGTTCTTCCGAACAATAGTCCGTAATGCGCACTGCGTTCATCAGTGTCATCGCGACGTGTGCCACATTCGCCGCATGCACGGAGTTGTGGTAAGGGTTCGATGTCCAGTGGTTTTTGTAAATACCGTAGAGGAAGCCGAGTATGCATTGATCGGAGACGTCCAAAAATTGTTTATAAGGTCCTAGCAATAAGTATCCGATGTCCATGATAATGGCAGGGTTATCTTTAGCCAATTCAAGCACACGTAGGTCCAGTGTTTGACCGACATCTCCTGCGATTTTTGCGAGCATAGTCGGTGCGTCAAAGGTGACTTCGTCTACAGTGATTTGTGGCGCCGTCTCCATCTCAAATTTGACGCCATGACCCGTCCTTGGCTTGCGCGCCATAGTTGCATGTTCAGTACCTGCACGTTTGTCAAGACGATACATGTTAATAAACGCGTCTTCTTTAATTTCATCATCCGCTTTAGCCGGATCGAAAGCCACATCCGCCTTCGCTACCTTCTCGTTCTGTGCCAACAGGTCCAGCACTGCCTGAAGACACTCAAGGACCTCATACAGACTGTTCGGACCACCCTTGGCTTTACGTGCGTTATGCTGTGCTCGTACAGTTTCCTGGACATTCTTCACCAAATCCATTACCTCCTCAGCTGCCGACATATCGAAACGCCGTTTCTTGCTCCGCTCCTTTACCGACTGCAATCTACTCTGCGATTCCCGCACACGCACAATGTTCGAGCGTTCTTGCAATTCACGGAACCAACGGGCCATAAAACCGATACAGTACACAAGAAACATGTAGCCCATATCGATGTAATTCGCGGCACGTAATTGAGAGACCATCAGTGCCTTTCCTTGTGCAGTTCGCATTCCGATAAATGTACCTACCATCACCAGGTGGAAGAGCGCCGATCGACTTGACTTAGTCGGTAGCACGGCGTCCACTAATACGATCTGAGTGAAAAAGAGGGTTGTCGTGATCCCGTCCGCGAGCATCTTCACTTCGTAAAACTTCTTGAGCTCGTAGGCATAAACAATGTTGCATACCATTTGTAATGCCCAATTCTGCAGCTCGCCCATCAATGGCCAGCTTAAATCTGCTACCATCGCCAGCCAATCCCAATCCCGCATTCCCGCGGTTCGAATCACGGCGGCGGTCCCCCAGGCACCAATCAAGCCAGTGTAAATGAGTCCGTTCATATAGAAGGCGTATTCGATGTGCTTGCGCATGACACCAGTCACTTTGCCCAAGTTGAAGTACATGACAACCCAAAATAGAATGTTAATCACAATCGCCGCACCCGTAAACAGGTGATTCAACTTCTCCACCAACGTGTCGATAACCTCCACCCAGTGCTCTCGATACGCATACCATACCAGAACCCAGGAAACCGCAGAAGCGAAAACGAACATCCAAATAGTCAAAGTGAGACGTACTGAATACTTGGCCGCGGACAAGTCTGTATAATACTTCTCCAACTCCGGATCCAGAAAACGCAATGGCGCTAAAGACAATTGCCGCCGACACGCGAGCCAGTAAGAACCTGCCACCGACTGCAACATCAACTTCGGAATAGCGCTCGGATGCAGTAACAAACCCAGCACCGTTACGTTCCCACCTTCAGCCACCTCCGTTACATCCGGCTTCTGCATCGCCGTATCACCCGATGCACGCGATGTCTTGTCGTCATCCAACGTCTTCTTCGTCATAGCCGACTTTATAGTCGTCTCAGACCGCACGGTCTGACTCTTCTCAGGACGCATCTTCTCCAACCTCTGTGGTGCAACAACCTGCACCCAAGCCAATACTGAGGGCTCACTCATCCTCCGGGTCACTTCGCAGGCCACTGCTATCCTCACTTGTGAAATCAGACTCTGCCGAACCTTCCAGCCTCATATTCGGTAAGTTCGCGCAAAACAAACTTGCACCTCGACTTGTGTCCAGTAACCGTCTCACGTTGAAGACAGAACCGGAAACACCCGCGCTCGATTGCGCCGCCCCGCACGACTGCCACCTTGCGATCGTTCCGGTGGCTTCGAGGGAGCGGCTTTGGGGAAGAGCGCAGAGACGTCCTGCAGTGGCTGCGAGCATGGAGCCATGTTGATTGCAGAAGAAGCGGCAGAGCGATTGTTCGCGGTCTGTACGGTAGGTGCTGAGGGCGATCTCCCGATTGGGGTTGACGGAAGGCGTAAGTCGAATGAGCTTGGCTTCAGATGAGGTGAGTGCTAGATAGCAGTTAATGTACTGGGTGTGGTAGCAGGGGCGCGTACTGCGGAAGCGTTCGCCCATGTACTGAAGTCGTAGGATCTCGACGTCCGGGTCTACCTCTAGCGGGCTCCATATCGGTGGCAGCTTCGGCCGATCGAAATAAGCCAGTATGACTGAAAGCAGACCATTCTTCATCTGTTTTGGGCGTTTTCCGTAACGCATCCGCCAGAGACTACCGCCATAACAACCACACGCGTGTGTGCCATGCGCCGAAAGCACCAAAGAGCCCCAGACGTCCAACGTCACCACACGACAACTCTCTACGTCCAATGTAACCAACTCCTCCCGCGAACAATTACTCAAACGTAAGTCATCATCAGCCAACCACTGCGCCACCAACACGTCAGCCACCACGTCGTTGCCCCCAAACACTTCTACACATCCTGCCCGATCTAATTGAGACAGCGCTACCAACAACGCCTCCGTCAGACTCAAACTAGACCGCACTGGCAAAACCGGCCGAGCCGCACTTGAAGTCCACCCAGGCCCCGCCGCCATTCCAGACCCAGCGACCGGCGGAACCGCGGCCTGCGGAAAGGTGGAGACGGAAGACATAGGAAACACCTCCAGACTCTCAGTCTTAGCCCCACGCCAGCGACTCCGGTCCGCACGTTGGTCGCCCCTAACCGAACGATTTTCGACTGAGCGGTTTTCGCAGTCTGTAAACGGCGTCTCGTTCTCCTTCTCCTCCTCGTCCGGCGGAACGAATGCCGAAAGGCCCCCCGAGTCGTTTGACCAAGGCGTCTCCGCGGGACTCCCCTGCACCCCTCCTAGCCGCGGCGTGGGCAACACTCCCGGTTGGTTCGCGACCCCGCCGGACGTGTCGCGGAAAGTCATCAACTCCGCCACAGGCATCTTTGATCCCAGATCCACAGAACTGTGCGGGGCAGAACTGTGCGGGGCAGAACTGTGCGTGGCAGAACTGTACGTGCCAGGCGAGGTCTTGGCTAAGCTGTCTTCGCCAGGCAGTGGCTGCGTGGACGGGACTTCTTGCAGGGGTGAAAAGGTCGAACTCCCGTTGAGGGAACTGGACGTGGTGTAGTACTTTTGAACTGGACTGTTCGCAGCGTAGTGGTGCCCAGCGACGTAGTGCTGCCCAGCGTCGTAGTGTTGTCCACCCCCCGGGTGGCCGTACTGCGGATCATACTGCGGTTGGGGACGAAAGCACGGGTGTGTGGAACTCACACGGTCTGTGACTCCGGCGGCTGCAGGGGTTGGGGAGAGAGGGAGTGGATTGGGGCTGCAGGTGCTGGGGCTGGAACAGTCGAGAGGCCGCGATCCGTTTCTGCTGACCAGGCGCGTCATGGAAAAGGTTTCCGAGGACAGGAGTCCCGAGGACAAGGGCCCAGTTTTGGAGAGGGGGCCAGCGGCAGAGAGGAGCCCGGTTCTCGATAACCAGGTCGAGGCGTAGCGGCTATGGCCGGCGGCCGTGGTGCTGCGCATGAGTGAGCTGTGGTTGGCGGACGCTGCGAACAAAATTAATGGTCGGCTCCCTAGTCGGTCCCCTTACCCATCCGTTTGTGCGTGTAGCGCCGCCGGTCCTTCATGATGTCGCTTGCATTCCGCTCTCGCCGCGGCACATCTCGAAACATGTGTGTTCGTGGAAAAGGTAATTAAATTTCATGAGCCTAGCACCACCACCGCCACCCTACAGGAGACGTGCTGTGGTAGTCGGCATCAACTACACATCCTGCGGCGAAATCGCTCTCAGAGGCTGCGCCAACGACGCATATGCCTTCGCCCTCGCTCTGGTCAACCTCTGGCACTTCGACCCGCGAGACATCCTACTGCTCACTGACGACGAAGCGGAATACGAAGACAACAAAGACAACTATAAAGATAAAAGCGCCCGGCAACGCCAAAAACCCTTCAGAAGCAACATCCTTCAGTACGCACTCCATCTCACACACCATTCTCTCCACGCAGGGGACTCAAGTGGCTCACCGGCGGCGTACACCCGGGAGACGTCCTCGTGTTCTACTTCGCCGGACACGGACTCCAAATTGACAACCTATCCGGCTGGGAAGGCGAAGGCTTCGATGAGGCAATACTACCCCTAGATTGCACTCACCAGCAAGGCGACGTAAACGCTATAAGCTCGGTCTGTCTGCGAAACGTAACTCCCCCACTTACCCACACACACAGCTCACACAACTCTCAACCAATCTTCTGTAGCATTTTCTCTCTGTTTCCGACCGAGTCCAGCTCACAATTTTCTTGGACTGCGCAGGTGGCCAGTCATCGCTGGACGTATCCGGCGGCAACAAATGGACCTTCATCAAGGGCGTTGTCCAAAAAGGGATTTGGCCTCTCACCGATCCCACCGACAAAATGCACCGAGCCCGATATGACTCACGCGTCTGGACCCATCACACCATGAAGGCGAAGGGTGTGCGCCCGCGGTACGTCCCTGGGGTCGAAGTCAATGACACAAATGAACTGAGCGACGTCCAAACCCGGTTCAAGAAGGGCGGTGGGGAAAAAACCCACGCCTACATGATCTGCGGTGCCCGTAAGCCATACCTCCGCCACTATCCTCTCTCTGCAGCCTTCAGCGAAGTACCCGTCGAGGCCCACTGCCCGGCTCTAAAAATACGAGGGTGCGATTCCAGGGGCGTTTTCTCCAAAGACTGCGTCACCGTCAAAGGAACCCACGTCTACCACGGCGCCTTCACATGGGCGCTCATCCGCGCATTCCACGACTGCGCACGAAATAACATCCACCGACGAGCAACATATAACTTACTCAGCGAACGAGTGCTCTACCATATCAAGGATCTGATGCAAAAGTAATCTCAACACCCCCCGGGGGAACGCACTAAGGGGTAAGAAGGTACGCTCCGGGAGCGAGCACTCGGTAGGGGCACTTACCTGAACATCTCTTCGCAGTCACGGCCTTATCAAAATGAACCAGCAGCCGTCGCTCACGTCGTACGTCGCCTCCGGATCTAACCCAAAGACCGACTGCCTGTTCTTCCCGTTCGGCGGACGCGTCGCCTCCGTCAAATACCACCACGGCACAACCGCAGACACCACGGAGAGTAAGCGAACACAGGTTCTGGTTCGAGTCCACCTGTTATGATATCCGAGACTCTGATCAGTGTGCTATATAGAAATAGATCCTCCTTTAGGGATAGGAGCCGGGACGGTATACCGAGCGCCGCGCTCGCAAATGCTGAATGTATCTCACTTGGACGCGGCACTTAAGGCGTATTCCAGTCGTATGAGCTTCCAAGTATTCGCTCGCAAGCAGCAACAGCAGCTGGAACAAGTCTGGAAGTCGCCAGTGACCCGAAGCGCCATCATGTGACTCGAAACGGCATTATGTGAACCACCGTGATTGGTCAGCCGGTGGCCCGACGGGCAGTGCCTAAAGAGTCTAACGGTCAGCGCCTGATGGCCACTGCGTGACGCGTTGCCCTGACGGGGGTGCCTTGACGGCCAGCACCCCGGTTGTGTGAGCGCGCCGGCTGTGGCCGCTAGTCGGTCATCACTGACTCGTATTCTGGAAGCAACGCCAGCCAGTGATGGAGCTCGTTCAGCTCTTTTCTCAAGTACCAGAAAGTTATGCAAATGACGGAGAGCGCGAAGGCCACTGCGACAAGTTTCCCGGCGGGGCGTTGTTTGGGTGCGGCTGGCGGGGCGGGCTCCTTTTGAGCGGCGGTCGGGGCTGGCGGCCAGTGGGCGAGTTCGTCGTTTAGTTCAGCGACGGTGGCGAGGAGGGGCGCGGCCTGGTGGAGCGGCTGGACGCAGGTGACCAGGTGCGGAGCGCCAATACGCAGGCGGATGGCCTGGAGGCCGCTGCGGACCAGCGCCACGATGTTGCGTTTGATCGCGTTCAGTTCCATGTTGCGTTCGCTCTGGCCCCCGTCGACGATTTTTTTGAGCGCAACCAAGAGGTCCTCGACCAGCAGCTGTCCGTCCTCAGCGGTGAGTCGCTGGGTCTTGAGTGTGGGGATCAGGGCACGTTGTCGCACGCCAGCCAAACTGGGGTGCTTCGCAACCGGCGTGCGTTGCCGCGTGGTCTGATTCAGGAGATCCAGCGTGATCAGCATGACCCGCGCCTGCATGTCATAGGTCAGCGACAAGAGGCGACACAGCCGCATAGCTGCGATCATGTGCTGCGAGCGCTGCGGTGGTGGATCGGCAGCGTTCAGCGTGGCCGTCGCACTCCACAGGTACGCGTTCATTTGGCGCATCACGCCTTGGCAAAAGTCGACCGACCACATCCCACGATGCAGCACGTTCGTGAGCATGTACCGCCCGCTCTTGATGACCCGGAGAGACTGCTCCAGGTTGTCGCACAACTCGGAGGTCGCCGACATAATTATGTTGGTGGCCGACGTGGTCGTCACGACGGACATTTCGTGGTCCGGGGACTTCGCGTCCTGCTGCATGTTCATCAAGGCAGTCAGGCAGTGCGTGTAGGGCGCTATTCGAAACGCGCGGGGAATGTTAGTCGACCCGATGTCGTTGATTAGGCTGATCCACGCGTCAATCAACGCCGCCTTCGTGAGGCTTTCGACCTCGGACACCCCCTGTGAAGTAAAATTGATGAACAGACAAGTGTCGTCCAGACCGTCATCTAGCCATAGAGGGATGTGCCGATTGCCGAGATAGCCCATCGTTTCCACAAAAATGCTCCATATTTCCTTCGGGGTGATGGAATAGGTTGGAGGTATCAGTAGGGCCGATCCCGAGACCTGATCAAAATTCAGGGTCAAAGAACGGCTGCTGCTCTGCGGATCCGAGAACGTCCATTCCAAGGATTGCTCGCGCAGCATGGTTCTTAGCGTACGCAGTGCGAGAATTGTCATGGACATAACTAGGAGAGGGACATCCTCCATTGACGTGAACCGCGACTTGTCCGCCGCGTAGCCATCGCCTTCGCTAGGTGCATTCAGCATGACCCTTAAATTCAGGACTCGCCAGCATAAGTTCCTCGCAGTTGTAATTGTGCTTTTGTTCCTGTGGTCGCTGCTATCAGCTTCCGAAGCGGTTTTCAAACATTTGATAAATCCCTGCAAGAGAATCTCATTTTGTTGCTGCTGATACAGACGCTCTGCAGCAGTTAAATATTGAATTCTCGAAGACCTCGTTTTAATTCCGGCTAGCGTAACGACCTTGAGCACGTCCGCCTCGGTGGGAGGCGCTAAATGGACGCTCGGCCACCAATCCACATCTGAAAATGCAGGATCGTACTTCTGGCACCGTTTGTCGTCTCCTTGCATCAGTCCTAGCCATAGCTTCTGGGGCAAACGAATTTGTTCAACACTATATCCGGTTTCGGTATATGCCGGACGCGAACGAGACGCGTCGGAACACGTGGCAGAACACGACCGCACCTCGCCGGCCGTCATTCCTTTAATTTTAGGCGTTTCTTGCATTATATCGGAGATATAGTCCACTGGCTCACCAAAACCACTGGATTTGAACCCATAATGCGCTCTATGAGAGTCCCGAGATCTCACAGCCTGAGAGGATTGTCATTTTAGCTGTAAAGCTTACTGAGATGAGCCTCCGCAAAACCATCTTTGTTTGCGATCGAATTTTGCGCACAAACACGCGTGTGCTATTGTTTACAGCGAGCGGTTGCGCGATGAAATGACTCATAAATTGGCCCCCAGGACTTCGTTTATGAATTTTGCGGATTCTATATCTCTATGAAAGACGGTGCTTGCCTCGCTGAGGCCGTGGTTGCTTTGTCCGTAGATGAAGCAGCGACTGGGCATAGATCTTGGTGCTGATTTCGGTATCTTGCCCTGGGCGTTTTGTTCGATCTCCTGGACACGCAGGAAGAAGTTCCTTCCTTGTCTCCAGTCAACTCGCTTGTCTTGTTGTCCGAGGAGCATGAGTATAGGACAGGATATATTCTGTACTTTCGAAATAGGTGATTGTGCATACTGTCGTGCGCGGATAGAAGGCCAGTCAGGGGTGAGTTCGTTAATGTTATATTTGAAGCCTGTCAGTTGATAGGTGGCCCAGTCCGGAATATCTGTGGTGTGCATACTGGCGTCAGTGACGGGGTTAAGAAGGATGGCCGCCTTAAATATAGGCGGTGTCAAGCATGCAAGATGGGCGGCGAGGAATCCACCGTGGCTTCCGCCATAAGCAATACAGTTGACGTGGTTCCAGGGCCAGCTGTCGACGCCAGACTTGAGCGAGTACTCAGTGGGTCCATTGAATTCCGCATGCAGCGCCGAGGACAAAGCCTGCAAGCACCACTGAACGTCGAGCTGCCCGCAATGTCCGGCTAGAGCCTTCGTGTATTCATCACCGTAGCCAACACTGCCGGGGTAGTTCGGGAACACAATGAGGTCAATGGGAGTGGAAGCGAACAGGAAGTTGTGAAGAGCGCTCTGCTCTGACATTATAGACATGCTGTTGGGCCCGCCGTGAAGCTGCAGCATGACAGTCTTGACTTGCTTGCTGCCGAGACCTTTCCTTCTGTACAAAAAAATAGACCGGCTGGGTATCGCGTTCTCTAGGTACGCAGCCACGTAGTTGCACTGGCTCGGTGTCTGGACAGGGTGTTTGAGGCCGTCGATGAGTACGGTGCCCTGACTGTGGTCGATCCAAAGTCTTCTTGCACGCAAATCCTTCAGCGTCTTGGCCGCAACAGTCGGGGCCGGTCTTCCGGCCTTTTCCTTGACTCCGCCTTGCTGGCTCGCTAACTCCGGGCTCACTAACTCTAATCGCTGGTCGAACCGAACCAGCACTGGCACCGTAGTACCCGCCTGCAGCACTGGCAGGTAGCCCAAGCGTTGTGACCGATTGAAGGTTTCTCCGTTCATTTTGTAGTCCAAAGGAACACCAATTTTCACCGGGCACTCTGTCCGTCGGACCCCCGATACAATCAGCTCCATGCAGCTGTTCTTTGTGTCGCACGTACGGTTATCCGGAGTGTTGTCCCCCCCTTGGTTGCCGGCTACATGGGTGATAATGACAGCTAACTCGAAAGATATGGCAACGAGATTGCAGCAAATACTGTGTTCTCCAGCATCTGGATAACTTAGGCAAAGAAGCTCGACGACATTAGACGAACCGTCCATGCACTCCATGACCTCACCGCCTCCGCAACCACGATTCGCTCCGGTACCATAGGTCGCTCCGCCATCACGGTTCGCTCCATCCTCAGAACCCGCTCCAGGGGAAACGTCGTTTGCCTTATGTCCCGATCGATCGTTATCGCCCGACCGATCGTTATCGCCCGACCGATCGTAAGTCTCAGGACACTCCCCAGTTTCAGGACGCTCGTTATCCGTTTCCCGTTCGTGATCGGAAGTCCGTTCGTGATCGGAAGTCCGTTCGTGGTCGGAAGTCCTTTCGTGGTCGGTGGAAGACGAGGAGTTTGAGGATAGCCGGTGCCTGCCTGGAGAGCCTAGGTGGTCTTGGCACAGGATTGAGGTCCGGCCGCCGAGGGGAAGGAAGTCCCGGTAGCAGAAGGTATCTCGGAGTACGTCTGCCACCCCCGAGGCAGCGCAGGTATTCAAGTCAAACCGGACGATTGTGTGCAGGAGGGCACGGCCGGGATGGTGGACGATGCCCAGCTTGGCATGCTTCGGATGCAAATAGGACACGAGTACGTCCAAATATCCGCAGTCGACATCAGCCGGGAAGTCTTCGGCGCTCCGGTCCTCGCCGGTGCAAGTTCCCGCCCGCCGAATTTCCAATCGGATTTCTTGTCCGCCATCCGGACTGCTGCTGCCGCTGCTGCCATCGTGCGTGTTCACGTGCGCTGTAGGAGCCCCCTTGGCCAATTCCCCCTTGGCCAGTTCCCCCTTGCCCAGCTCCCCCTTGGTTAGAACCTCCTCCCGCGGCACCGAATTTCGGTGCACGACGTCGTTGGGTGCCGTTCCGTCGACGTCGTCCTGGACGGGTTCGCCCTTACTTAAGGTTTCGATGACAGTTTCCTCGGTGGAGGGGTGTTCAATGGGTGGTGTTTCCTGGTCTTGCGTATCCTGTCGGCAGATGGACTGGGCGGTTCGGCTTTCCAGAGTGCCGGCAGGCCCGCTCCCTCCGGGCGCTGTGCCCTCGTTCGGGCTCCCTCCAGGCGTTCTCTCCTGGAACAGAGCGTCTCCTGCGTGCCCGGTAGCAGCCTCCATGTTCGCGCAGGGTTCAAGGCGGTTGGCTGCGGCAGTGGGATCGGAATTGAGGACGCAGGCTTGGACGCAGGCGGTATCTACATTGAGGACTTGCGCGATCCGACGCTCCTCAACGTCGAGCACGAAGGGTTGTGGATGCGTCAGGATTTCGCTGCACTCGCCAAGGTGGAGGGTTTGTTGAATGTCGCACACACGCTGTACGTTGTACCCCGGCTCCACACCGGCTTCCCACGGGAAAGAGGACGCGCTGTCATCACTCTTAGGCTCCGCTAAATAAACCACGTACAGTCGCCGGTTCTTGACCACCGCATAGGGACTGTAGAACCGCTGGTGGGCCAGGATCGGAGCCTTATGCAGACCCTGGTACTTTATCTCAAAAGCGTCCAACACCGTACTTGTTGAACCCTCCGAGTACACATACACACCTAACATGTCTTCTCGCGATACACACAGACCCAAAACCACTTGCCCATCCAGGTCGCGCACCAACGTAATGCCCTCACCAGGAATCGCCTTACCCACCGCCGCAAAGGGCCCTACCACACTAGGGATCTCGAAATGACGCGGCGTCGGGAACGGCCCAGGGGAGGGTTCTCGGCCCGAGAAGGGTGAATGGTGCTGGGAAGTGAGCGGGCCTACTTTTGTTGTACACTTGGCTGTACTCCACCTTCTTGTTGCGTATGGGATCCAGCTTCGTGTAGTTAATTACGACGTAGTCCTCCTGGTCATACGCCGAAACCAATGCGGGAAACTGCAGCTCCTTTGAGTGCCTAATCTGAAAGAATTCTCGTTCAGTCATATGCTTGGAACCCCCCATTTCCGTTTGTCTGGTCAGTGTCTTGTCTGGTCAGTGTCTTGTCTGGTCAGGCTGCCACCAGTGAATTAATATTTCTGGTGGATGTATGCGCGAGTGGTATGGCTGGCGCTGCTGGCTCAGGGGCAGAACTACGATGGGACCTATCCGCTAATCGAGGTGCCATATATATGGGAGACTCAGGTGAACACAAAAGACCTGAAGGAGGCGTGGCTGACACGGTCTGGGGGGACCGGAACGGTGATAAACAATGTTGTGTTAGTGGAGCGGAACGCGTATAATGGCACGTATGAATCAGCAACAAGGTCGCCAGGTCATCACAAGTGCGCCGCTGTGGACGTTATCCTGGACCGGGTCCACGTCAGCGATGGGATTTGCGACTGCTGCGACGGCTCGGACGAGCCGGAGGGGGCCTGTGCCAATCGGTGTTCAGAGTGGAATAAAATGGTGGCCAAGAGAAACGAACAAATTACGAGCACGATGCTGGCGCTTCAGAACAAGAGAACCAGTCGCTTGGATATGGGCCTTAAAATGGTAGACGACGACGATATTGTGGACGAGTATGCAGACAGTCTGGAAGGTGCGGGCGGTGGCACAGACGGTGGTGGCACACACAGTGGCACACACGGTGGCACAGACGGTGGTAGCACAGGAACAGATGGTCAGATGCGTCGCACGCCGGCCAAGTCATTGCTTGAGAACTGGTTGTGGCCGGCGAAGTCGCGATTTACTTTGTTGCGTAACTGGTGGTTCGTGTCTTTGGCTAAGTTGTTGGGCAAGAGGGTGGCGGAGGAGTTGGAGATGAAGCCGCTGAGTGAGAATTTGCGTTCGGAGTTGAACGTCTTAAAACCGCACCCGGAATGGCTGTACACAGCGGCCTTGGTATCCGACTCGATGCAGTTGCAACTGGACCAGAAACGGTTTACAGTGAAGGAGTTGTTGGAAATCACGATGAAAGAAACGTGGCAGTACAGTACCGTGAGCTACGGCAAGCTCGTCAATGTGACGGTAGTCGACCCGACGGACTTGACTTTGCCGCTTCCGACCAAGTACAGCCGCCTCATAAGTCCGTACGTGATGTTGTATCAAGGCGGGTCGCGCTGTCGAGACAAGGCCTTCAACGACGATCAACGTTCCTGGATCGAAGCCGATAACGAGAGTTACAGTGCGCGTCTCTACACCGTCTGCGCCGAACACGACGCACTTCTCTGGGTTGAGTTCCAACAACCCTGCAGGCTCAGCGCCGTCGCCTCCAGTCCCGCAGCCTGCGTGTCACACCGACAGGCGCAAGTCGAAAACTTGCCCAGCGGCCAGGGCCGGCGGGTGAAAAACGAGCTGTGAACACATCCTTCTGGTGGTGTTCACACCCTTGCCGGGTCACCACCATACCTTTGCTGAGTCCGACATAGACCCGTGGCGGGTATGTGGTAGTTCTTTTTTAAAAAATGGAAGATGCCATAGACGTGCTCAAGAGCAACGCGAGTGTGTATCACCAGATCCCCGTAGGTTCTCGTGAGTGAGGAGTGACATTGTTGTGTTTAGTGGCCGAAAGAGGGCGTGGAGTTTACGGTGTCCTCCTTGGTGAATACGTCTAAGGGGCAGGCAAACACGAGTCTGTCGTTCAATGAGGATGACCAAGTCATCACGAGTGTGCCGGACGAGGAGGGTGTAGAGGTTTTGGCCCCGGGTTTCGGTCGGTACCGGTACTGTTTAGATCACGTGAGGAAGCCGAGTCTGGTGCGCACCCGCGTGACAATGATAGACATGAACCCAAGCGCGAAGCCGGAGATCCTCAAAGGTTACCGCGTGCGCGTTTTCGGGAACCGCAATGGGCAGCTGCTCGCCTGTCGCGACGTGGGGGTACTCGAGAGCCCGGCGGAGCAATTGCAGATCACCCAGCAAGACACCACGGAGGAAGAGCGCGAAAAGTACACTCTCGCCATTCAAAAAAAAATGCGAAAACTCGACATCGGCGCACCCAAGTTCTGCCCTCTTGACAAACCCTCCAAACTGCCCCCTCTCGCTCGCCTTGGTCCGCCCGCGAAAATGCTCCTCGCCGGCGAAGTCGTCCACGAACTATTTGCCGAAGTTGATGTCGCCGACTTCCGTAAACTCGGGGTCAACCTGCCCACCCCCGACGGCACCATCTCCGACGGCGCTACCCCCTACGGCACCACCCCCCAGGGGGTTACGCCCCAGGGGGTTACGCCCCAAAGAATCACTCCCAGCATGCCCGGCGACGCAACCGGTGACCAGAACGCACAGCAACCTGGCCCGCAGCAACCTGGCCAACAGTTGGGACAGCACAACAATCTGCACGTGCAGCCCCAGGCGGCGGCGAAGGAGCTGGGACAGCAGCTGCGGAGAGAGCGGCAGGAACTACAGGCACAGGCGCCGGCGCCTAGGACCAATGAAAGTGTAGTGGCGGTCTTAGAGCGCGCTGCACCAAGGAAAGAGTTCCGGAAGACGCGGCAGCCCCGGACCCGGGACGAGGGGACGCCGCCGCCCACTTACAATGCGCGCCAAGTCGTCGATGATGCAGGCAACTGGCTAGCCAAGCAAATCAAACAGGCGGCAGGCATCCAGGATAGGGCCGATGTGTTCCCCAACACAGCCCCGCCCCTCAACCCAGTGTCCAAGGAAACAATGTCCAAGGAAACAATGTCCAACGATCTAGTGTTCAATGACACAGTGTTCGATCCAATACTTGCCGTAGGCGCTAAAATTGGTGACCAAATTCTGTACGCAGAACAAAGTCTCTACGCAGACCAAAGTCTGTACGTAGGCCGAAGTCCGTATGCAGACGGTCACCGCCCAGAAGATCTTGACCGTGGTGGAGGTGGTCGAGGGCGACGGGGGGGCCGAGGTGGTCGAGGGGGGGACCGAGGTGGTCGAGGGGGGGACCGAGGTGGTCGAGGCCGGGACAGGAGTGGTCGGTCTGATGACCGAGGTGGTCGCTCTAGTGACCGAGGTGGTCGCTCTAGTGATCGAGGTGGTCGCACTAATGATCGAGGTGGCCGATCTGGGGCCCGAGGGGGAGGCAGAGGTGGTCGAGCCGGAGCCGGAGCCGGAGACAGAGGTGGGGAAGAACGCCCAGCCACGGAGCGCCGAACTCGGTGTCAACAGCATCAAGATCGTGGCGTTGCCAATTACGGACTCGAAGCCAAACCACAAGAAGGTGGTCCTAGCCGACCTCAAGCGCCCTCTACTCCAGCAACCTCCGCACGAGGAGGCTCCACTCGAGGAAGAGGGGGACGACCTCGCGGAGGTCGCGGCAGGCCTGGCAGATCCTGATCACGGCCAGGCATGGCGTAGGCCTTGCCGAAGCCACTTCGTAGCCCTGGCCCTAACAGTTAGTAGCGCCTCGCCCGAACCATTTCGTAGCTGCCTGAAACCATTTAGTAGCCCTGGTAACAAGGACCGACCCTGTCCACTTAGACCGCATCACTGCTTGGTGGACGCGCGTGTCGGGGTATTTTTCCAGTGTGAGTCCTCCATGACAAACTGCAACAGGTCCTTCGGTGGGTGGTAGTAACTGGTCGCACAACTGCATCCGTGAACTAAATCCTCGAAGATGTCGGTTGGTTGGACTGAGTTGGTTGGACTCCGTCGCGCGACTGAATCCAGTCGCTGACCTGATCCGAGCGGCTGACCTGACCGTTTGCTTTGACCAGCTGGCCAGGGTCGGGACCGTATATATGGACCTATAGGATCCTAGGTGGTTGGTCTGGGTGGTTCTTGTTGGGGTGGTGGTATGACGGTGCCTCGGTCGACGATCCAGGGGTGCTGGGCGCTCATGAACTGAGCGCGGCTGCAGAGGAGTGCAGGCGAGATGACAAGGCGGCGTCCGAGGGGGAAAACAAGTAGGGCTACACGTGTGCTATATTTGTGCGTTTCATCAACGGGTAGGCCCTGTGCTTTCCAGACCTGAACGATGTACTTGGGGATGCGAACAAGGGGTGCCTGCGATGGCAACATTCCCGTAATATTCAGGTATTGTTGCACCCATGGCTTGCTCTCATTATGTACGACCAAAGTTAAAGTCTCATCACCCCGACTTAGAGGTAACGCACACAACCGCAAACAGTATCCCGACACCTCCACGCCCTGATCCCGATCCAGAAATAGCCCACCACTCTCGCGACTCAACACTCTCACCGAGTCCTTCGGCCATGGACCCTGACTGACGTCTTCTGTCGCCAAAAATGGCGCCCACACCTTCGATGACGAATCCCACCACGTCGGCCGCGGAGCGTCTTGCCCCAACCGCCGGTTCGGCTTCACTTTGCTCGCAGCAATCGACGTCGACAAAATCGTCTAACCAAGGCAATATCACCAGGGGGGGGGTCAGAGTAGGTGCTCCAACACCGGGAGGGGGGTGGTGGGCCAACACCCGGAGAGTGGGGTGGTCCAATACCGGGAGAGGAGGTGGCTTACGTGTAGCCAGTATTTGATGCCCATGTAGTCGGGCAAGGAGTGGAGATTGTTGGAAGCGACGTTGGTATAGGTGGTGGCGTCGAAGAAGTCTCCACAGGCAACAGGCGTCTCGAACTCGACCACGCCGGTCCAAACCTGGCTCTTGTCCCGGCCCTCGGGTAGCCGGATGCTATCGTCCGTCGCAACCCAGTTCCAGCGGTCGCGATGAGACTCGAGAATGCTGGAGAACATGGAGCGGAACTCGCAGACCGTGGCGGCCTGGCGGGAACTCGAGGCTGCCCGCGAGGACCGCACCATCTTCAGCGGACACGGCACTTCTCGCCGATCAATAGGCAACGACGCGTGGCACTTCGCGCGCCCAGACAACCGGCCGTAGACCATCTTATAGTCTTGGGATACCATTAGTGAACTGAGCGGCGTAGGTAAAGCAGGGTGGTAGGGTAAGGAGGAGCAGGGGGATAAGGAGGAGCAGCCGGGGCGGGGCAGGGTAAGGCCGGATGGAGGGTATCCTACTTGACGAGAATTTCGATGCTGGACGTTCGGGAGTCGGATTTGGTAAGGGAGAGCTCGCCTCCCCAGACGACCAAGTGCCTGCAGTCTGGATCTATCGCCCGGCTAGTGACTTCGCGTTCTTCGTTGGCTGTTAGCTTTACTCGGGCGAGCGACCGGAAGGTGGAGCGGTCTTCCCACCAGTCTTTGGTGCGACTTCGCGCGTCCTGTAGATCTAGGCGCGGCCGGTGGGAGCTGCGTAGGTCGCCCTCCAGTGGCTGACGCAGGGTAGGTCGCTTGCGTCCATGGCCGCTGCCGCTTTCGAAAAGGCGCAGCCGGCAGCGCGTGACCCGATAGGGAAGACTCACCCAAGTAGTGAGTTCACAGCCACGCGGGTGCTGGACGCGTTCTCGGAGACCCTCGAGCTCGCCACGTTTCAACACTGGTCGCTTGATCGGCTGCTTCTTTTGCTTCTCCTTCAGGCAGTTTTCTAACTCGGTCGACCAGTTCGCTGGCCGGCTGCCCGGCCCGTTCAGCTTCACGGCACTGTCTGGGTTTCGCCGCAGGTCCAGCACCACCGTGCTCTCGTTCTGGTTCCAGGACCGCGCCGGCGGAGACTGCGGCGACTCAATCGGCGCAGCGGCGTGCGGCGCTTCCGGGACTCGGGGCCTTGGCTCGCTTTTGGTCGGTAACGGAGGCGGAGGCGCAGACGGAGGTAACATGTGTTAAATATATTTTTAAAAGCACAGAGGGGGGGCGAACCCCAGACAGCGCACTTTGTGCACACGCGTGTGCACACGCGCGCGCACGCGCGAACGCCGGCAAACACTAATCCATCACATGCGACGCGGCGCTTCTTATGGTCAGGTCGAATTCGCTGGCGTCCCGCTTCCTCAAAGACGTTTTGGAGGAGGAGTTAAGCGACTTGTGCCAGGTCATGAGGTCTCCACGCATCAAGCCTCTCCGAACGGTTTGCGCAATGGTGTATCCATGTTGTCTGACGAACTTTACGTGAGTAGGGTTGAGCGAGTTGGTGTAGATCCGCATGTTGGTGAACCCTATGTCGCTGGCGTACTGCTCGACCTGCATGAGGAGGCGACTTCCGATTTTCATACGCCGGTGCTGGGAGTCGACGATGAGGCGGACGAGCTTGCCGACGTTTGCCGTCTCTTTGGAGGCCACTAGTCCAACGCATCCGGCAATGACCCGGGTGGGCTTTGCGCCTGATTCCGCAGACAGACTTGTTCCCAGGAAGGCCTCACCAACTTGCAGCTCGGCCACCCAAAAGCGCGACTGCGGCCCGTTTTCCATATACGTGTCGAAAGCTGTCCGCAGGTCGTCGCAGTCCAGTCGGATGTACTGTTCCAGCTCCCAACGCGACTTCACGAACAAGTACACGTTGAACAGCGTTACGGACATGATGAACCGCGGTACCGACATAAACACAAACGCCAGGAACGTCAATAACGCCATATCCTGGATGTGCGCCACGACGTAGTACCGCGTCGCCGCCAAACCCGTCGAACGAAAATGGTTAAAGCATAACTGCTTCACGGCCTTCACGTCCTCTTTGCGGAGCTCCCGAATCGTCAAAGCCCCCTCGCTAAACGGAGGCTTCGCAGGCACGGGCGATACTTCGCTGCTCTCCGCTTCCTACAGACACACACATGACTGCCCCTGACTAGAATGTGTACCGTTCCCCTAGAATGTGCCCCTGATAAGTGGCAGCCCCTATGAAGTGCAACCCCAGTGTAGCCTGCCCCCGGGCTCCCGATCCCTTGGCTCCCGCCCCGGGCACCTGACGCCTCGGCTCTGGCTAGTTGACAGCCTATTGGTAGGCTGAACGAGGCTAGGGCTGGGGGGAGGTCAATCCCTGACATGAAGTCTTTCTCCGAGTAGGAAGGCCGAGGCAGGCACTAAGGACAGACACTGAGGGCGGGAGCCAAGGGTGGGCACTGAGGTGAGGGCGGGCACTAAGGTCTGGAGCCATGTCCACCATCGCGGCGAAATTTAAGTGCGCGTAAATACAACTGCACACGCTCGGCCCAACACTCGCAATCAGGACGCCGAATAGGTGCGACCTGCGTCCTGGTCGACATCCCGAACATGAAGGGATGATGGCTCACGGTGGTGCTCATAAAAACTAGGACGCCTTGACTCTGGGTATAAATTTACGACGCTGTTTGCAAATTGTCTTTTGGTTCTTTTAACGACACGGTTACCAGGCACTCATATCGAACACTGCTACTAAACACGACGTTGTTATTGAACCTGAGTTGTTGAACCCGAGTTGTTGAGTGGACCAGTTGTCGCGATGGCGGTGGAGAAAGTGAAGGTTGCGAATCCAGTATGTTACCTGGACGGTGATGAGATGACACGGGTGATAGGACAGTGGGTGATTGATAAGTTGATCACACCATATGTGGACTGTGAGGTACGTTATTTCGATTTGGGTATTGAGCATCGGGATCAGACGGACGATCAAGTTACGGTACAGGCGGCGGAGGCGATTCGGGAGTGTCATGTGGGTGTGAAGTGTGCAACGATAACACCGGATGAAGCTCGGATGACCGAGTTTGGATTGAAGCGGATGTATCGGAGTCCGAATGGTACTATTCGTAACATTTTGGATGGTGTAATTTTTCGGGAGCCGATACTGTGTAAGAACGTGCCATTGCTGGTGCCATCTTGGAAGAAGTCAATCATCATTGGGCGTCATGCGTATGCGGATCAGTACAAGGCGCAAGACGTGGTGGTCAAGGGTAAGGGGACGGTTAAATTGGTGATTGACACTGAGGACAATGGACACCAAGAAGTTTTGGTGCACGAATACACAGGCGAAGGTGGAGTGGCATTGGGCATGTTTAACACCACCGAATCGATCCGCGGCTTTGCCAGAGCCAGCTTCGCCATGGCTCTGGACAAGAAGATGCCACTCTTTCTGTCTACGAAGAACACCGTGCTGAAAGCTTATGACGGGCACTTTAAGGACGCGTTCCAACGGCTGTATGATGCCGAATATAAGACGCAATTCGAAGCCCTTGGCATTTGGTATGAACACCGACTCATCGATGACATGGTCGCACAGTGCATCAAATCGGAAGGCGGATTCGTGTGGGCCTGCAAGAACTATGACGGAGACGTACAGTCAGACGTCCTTGCCCAAGGCTTCGGATCCCTCGGCCTCATGACCAGCCAACTTGTCTGCCCTGATGGTATCACACTCCAAGCAGAAGCCGCTCATGGTACCGTCACGAGACATTTCAGACTCTACCAAAAAGGAGAAAAGACCAGCACCAACCCCATCGCTACTATCTTCGCCTGGACTAAAGGCCTGCTTCATAGGGCCAAACTGGACGAGAACAAACGCCTACACGACTTCGCTGAAACACTCGAAAAATGCGTCGTCGACACAGTCGAAAGCGGTCTGTACACTAAAGATCTAGCCATCTGTATCGCAGGCACCACCAAGGTACCGGAAACAGAATATCTGGACACAGAAACATTTCTTAATAAGGTCGTTGAAAGGCTGGAACAAGACTGGCACTGAAAATAAGCATCGGACACTCCAGCCAGCCAGCCAGGCTTAGACACTTGAAATTTTTTCCGGACTTGCGTTTGATAGTCACGAACGAGTGTTAACACGTCAGCCAATGTCAACGATGGCGCAGCCGGTGTTGCAAAGCGCTCGTCCACTGCGCGGTCGTCGTCCATTGCAGTGTTGAGGAGTTGAGGAAGAAGATGTGTTGGGTTGACAAGGTGAAAAAAACGAACAGCCGAACTGGCCCAGCCAGCGTGTGATGTCTGTAGTTTATATATGTGTGGCTTGTGCCTTTCTGCGGGAGGCGCCCATGGCGGCGTTTGCGTTTGCGGATGTGGCTCTCTGCATAGCCTTGTTGAGTTCTTGTTCTTTCATGGACGTAGAATGTTTGATTGCTTCGGTGGAGGGTCCTGAGAGGGGTGCGGAGACGGTTTTTTGTAACACAGGTGCGGCGGGAAGAGTTTCCTCGGACTCGTTCTTGACGAAGCGTACTGCTATGTAGGCTAGGAAAGAGCCTAGTGCCCACATGGCGAAGCCAACCCAGTATTGATCTCGGTAGGTGATACCACTGTTAAGGTCAAGACCCCAGGCGACAGCAGCGCCGGCAGATTGGATGCCTTTGTAGAAGCCGGCGAATCTAGCACTGAGTTGAGTGTTGTTTCCGGCAATCGCGCCCATCAGCCAGTAGGCGAAGGCTTGAAGGGCGGCATCGGCTATTCCGTAGAAGATATAGGTCAGGATAGGACACCAGGCGCGTTTGGACTGTTTGAAGTCAATGTGTTCAAGGATAACACGGTCCTTGTCATAGCCTTTCTCAAGCCCATACTGGACGTAAGTTCCGAAGCTCCAGGCAAGGGCGAAACAAACAAATGTGAATAACCAACCCACCAAGGCACGTTGCCTGCGGGTAAAGCGATCCATATCTAGGAGCAGACCAATAAGCCAGGCAGACAACATTTGTGAAGCCCAGTAAAAGGCGCTGTTAAGACCGCGTGTCCTGATATTAAACAAAGTTCCGTTGACGTAATTGAACTGATATGTGTAGAACCAATTGGATGCCACGAAGAAGGGCAGTAGCAGGAGCATGTATTTGTTCATTGATGCCTTGAGTGCACCGAGAATCTCGTCTTTAACCGAAGTGCCTTTGTCAAACGACACAAGCGAACCATCGGCCTTCTTCACTTTATCCGCCTTCACAATAACAAACGGTACCACAACCGCTCCGATGGCCATGATGGCGATGAACAAGAAGTATGATGCCTTATTCGCCTGTGTCGAATCGTCCTTGGCATTGTAGTTGACTGCGAACTGCAAAATGCCACCTAACATACCACCAAGATTAAATATAATCCAGAACCAACCGATGTAATTGCCTTTGTTAAACGGAGTCGAATAAGACATCATCATGGCACCTTGAGCAGTCCAGAAAAGACCAGCACCAACTCCTAACAAACAACCAACCAAGATACTCACCCAATCTGCACCATCCACGTTCGAAGCCAGGTACATACCCAACGCATATAAACAGTATGTCAGACCACCAGCGCATAGCAATATCCGGTTGCCCATCAAGTTAAAGAACACACCTCCGAAATAACCGAACACCGCAAAACATGCGTACAAAGCACAGTTCGCCTGATTAGCATATTTCGGGTCATTCGAACCCGCTGCTCCAAGGCCGGACAATGCGTTAAACAAACCTGGACATGTCAATGCGATTCCTCCGAGAATCAATATCTGCACAAACGCATCCGATAAAGCAATCATCCTTGATACGTGCGCTGCACCCTCCACCCTGCATGACTACTCTCCTCTCTGCACCTCCACCTAGATCCGTACACAGATACATGCGCAACTTCAACTCCTCCATTACTGCATCCCTGCGCTTTCCATGACTCCATTCTCCCATGACTCTACTCTCCCATTACTCTCAACTCTCCCATGACTCTCAACTCTCCCATTACTCTCAACTCTCCCATGACTCTCAACTCTCCCATGATTCAACTCTCCCATAATTCAACTCTCTGCTCTCTCTTCCCCCACGCTTTCCTCGAAGTAGTTTACGCTCTCCTTCTCCGTTTCCTCCTCTACTTCTGCTCCCGTCGCCGCTGCAGCTTTTGTTGCTGCTGCCGGGTCTGCCTTTAGCAAACCCCACAGGTCGGGGTCCAGCTGCTGTAGTTTATTCATGCAACGCTCCATCAGGTTCTCTCGCCGAATTACAGCTAGGCGGTTCTCCGCAATCGCCAGTTGGACGTCTTGGTCCTTCTTGTGCGGGTCATACTCCGCCATCTGCTCGTTCGACTCGACTAAAGCCAAAAGCGGTAAAGGCATGGCTAATGGGAAGACGGGGGGGACTTAGGGAGGGAACTGCCAGTCCGGATGAGAAAGGCGCGTGAGATAGAGTGGCTACCAAGTTTGTGAAGCTGCACCATGGCCTCTTCGTAGATGGGCAACACAAGCTCGACGTTGTCGGGTATCGAAACATCATCGCTCGCACAGGTCACCTCCACCACTTGGGGGTTCGCCTTGAGTTTGAGAAGCACCATTTAATATTCGCGATGACCGAATTTGACGACCAGAGGGTGACTGCGTTGAGCAAGCCTTCCCCAAGCCCGGAATCTGTCGTGCGTGAACAGGTGGCCTCCGACCATGTGACCCCAGCACCTGTGACGCCCTTCCAGGTATCATCTGAACAGGTGGCATCCGAGCAGGCGGCGAGCGGTGAGAGTGCGTCCGGAAATGCGCCGGGCAATGCGTCTCCCAGGGCGGGAAGCGATGCTGCGACCGGTGAAGTGGAAGGGGCCGTGGAAGAGCCCGCGTCGAGCGCCGCGCCAGAAGCTTGGGACGCGTCCGTGGACGTGGAGGTAGCGGACGACGACCCGGAGTTGCTTGAGTTGATCGCGGCGGCGAAGACGAACAAGCGCTCAGACAAGATTTGTTTGACGGAGGAGGAGATGGCGCTGCCCGCATCGGCCCGGGCGGCGCTATTGCAGCAGCGCATTAAGGAACGGCGAGTGGAATACGAACGACAGGAGCGACTCACTGCGGAGAAACGCCGCATCGAGTAAGTCTCCTCAGCAGCAGATAAACCCCGGATCGAGTGCACCCCCATCCACCCAAATGTTGTGCTACCGGATGTCGTGTTTCGTAGGTCACAGAAGAAGATGATGGAGACGCAGCGCGTGTTGGAGGAGAAGGAAAAGGAGCGGTTCCGGGCAGAGTTAGAGCGCGAGAAACGCGAGTTACGAGAGGAAGAGGAGCGGCAGCGGAGGTTGCTGGCCTTGGAATTTAAGGAACGGTTCGGGTACTTGCCGAGCGAGGAGGCGATGGAGGCGGCGCGGCTGAAGAGGAAGCCGGTGCGCGAGCAAATCCGGTACTGGCTGGGTAAGTTGAATGACCGGCCGGAGGCGGCGACCAAGACGCTGCCAACGCTCTTCAAGATTATGCACAATGCCCGGACGAATCCCACTAATCCCAAGTTCCTTAAAATTAGCAAAACCAACAAAGTCTTCAGTGAGAAAGTTGGCTCCGTACCCGAAGCCACTGCCTTGCTCGAGATCGTCGGTTTCAAAGCAACCGACACCGACTGGCTCATTGAAGGCTACCCCAACGGCTTCCTCCTCTCCGAAGTCGAAAACCTTATCCAGTACCTCCTAAAAGCAAACGCTCAAAAAACAGTTCCCACGCCTAGTACCACCGGAGCCTAATCCTGCCGGGGTCCTCCTCCCGACAGAGTCCTAATCCTGAGAAAGTCCTCCTCCGGTCGAAACCACCGCGGGTGGGTCAAGACGATGGTCGGTCCGGGTGAAGGAAGGCGTACGTGCGTTTCTCACGGGGGGTAAGTGACGGTTTGGGGGGCTCGATACCGAGTTCGCGGAGGCGGAGGAGTGCGGCATAACGTCCGAGAGCCATAACAGTTTGCGTGGGATTGAAGCGAGACATTTGAGGCAATGTGCTTGCGTCGACAACGGCGAGGTTGGCGACATGTTTGACACGGAATCGGTCATCCACGACCTTGCCTAGTTGCGCAGTGCCAGCCAGATGCCACATGCTTTGCTTCATATCACGGATATAGCTCATCAACGCTGGTAGGTCGTCCGGATCCGGCAACTGCGCCGGAAATGTTGCCAACGTCTGGTTTCGAATCTGACTGACTGGGTATGTCATGAACACCGAACTGTGTTGCCTCTCCATCTCCGCAAATACCGCTTGCGGAGACAACCATGACTCCTCCCGCTTCCCCATAGTAGGTACCTCCTCAACACTAACGTCCACACCACCAAGGTCTCTATCAAGGTCCGCCCAGGGCGCCTCTTGCTCCGACCCGGGTCCAGACGACCCGGGTCCAGACGACCCGGGCCCAGATGATGCGTACGGGTACAATTCTAGCTCGGTGCCCTCCGTGCGTCTGCCCACGCGAGATAGGTACCGGGGCCGGCTGGAAACGGCGTAATCCGCGACAGCCGCGTCCAGGCCCAAGTGAGCCGACATTCTCGCGTCGTGGAGGCTTTCTTGGTGGCTGGGGTGGTGATCGTCTTGCTGTTGCTGGGGGGTTTGATGACGGCTGGCGTGATTGGCGGGAGTGAGGTTGGGGAGCCGGCCTTGGAGTAGGTCTTTAACAGTTTTGCTGAGGTCTTTGAGAACATTGTGTAGAACTGCAGGACAGGATTTTTCGTCTAGAGTTTCGACGGCGCCTTTGAGGGCATCGCTTCGTGCGATTCGTATCAGATTTTGGATACCACGAAGTCCGTCGACAACATCTTGGGGATTGGAATAGTAATTGGGGTCGACCCTAATTTGTCCTGAGTAGTCGGTTTTCACATATCCACGTGATTTGGGTTCATTGACGAAGTACCATGAGGCGGTTAACTTACGGAGACAGGCGGGTGCGGATGAGAAGGCTGCGCAAACGGGGTTGCTTTTGGCGGTTTCGGAGCAGTAGTTGAGTAAGGTCATGAGTACGTCAACAATGGGGTGCGAGCGTATGGTAGGACTTACGAAGATGCGTGTTGCATAGATGAAGCCCTCCACAATGCGCCCGCCGGCCATCTCCTCGACGCCGATCTGTGAGTAGTCCAGCGTCCTGGCGCCCAAAACCGCGCGCCCAAAACCGTGCGTGGCTAAACCTACACGCCCACACACTTGAGGCTCCAACTCACGACCTATTGCCGTATCCCCCACCTGGTAGTACGCCACAGGCAAAAGGCCGCGATCTATCAAGTGAGAACCCACATTCTCGTTCAACACTGCTGGCGCATTGATACCCAACAACTCCATCTGTTCCGCAGCACCCACTCCGCTACGCGCCAACAACACCGGGGAGAACACGGCCCCCGCAGACAACACAATCTCCGACTTCGCACACACCGTCTTCAATGCGTGTCGAGACAGCGCGTGAGACATCCGCCGCCGGAAACGCTCTGGCGGACCCGACAATGGCTCCCTCCCGCCAATCGGCTCCAGGTCCTCGCTCCGCGTCGCACGAACCAAAACGCAAGTCGCCTTGAACCGCGGCTCGGGAGATTCACGGTTCTGCGACTCTCCGCCGTGCGACTCACCGCCCTGCGACTCACGGCCCTGCGATTCGCCGCCCTGCGACTCACCGCCCTGCGACTCACCGCCCTGCGACTCACCGCCCTGCGACTCACCGCCCTGCGACCCACGAATCGGTTCCAGTTGGATTCTTTCTGCGATGGTGTTGGTAACGATGTCTAGTGTGGGTGGTTGTGGGCGGTCGAGGCTGCCGAGGAGGACGTCGGCGGACCTGCGGAAGCCGTGATCTTGAGAGTCGAAGAGCGAGAACGCGTTCCAGGAGGTTTCTTTGAGGAGCCGCAGGCGCGTGCCAGCAGTTTTGTAACCCTGTTGATTGAAGGCCCGTCGCCAGTGTTCGCTGTAGGGTTCTAATTGACGCATGGGTTGTGCGAGGCGAAGAGCGATCCATTCTGAGGCGTTGTAGAAGAGGTCGTGATCGATGGGTTCGCCGCTGGTTGACTCGAGCAGCGAGAGGTACTCTGGATCTTCTTCGACGGCGATGGCCATGCCCGTGGCCGTGCCGCCTCCGAGGACGCTCGCCACATGTGTCCGCACACCCGACTGAGTCATAACCAACTGACTCACACGCGTATCAGCCATGACTAAACCCGAGCCATAAATGTCGTGTGTGAGTCGATGCTTCAAGCGCACGTCGCCACGTTCCACGACCAACACTTTGAACCCCGACTCCGCCATCGTACGTGCAAACGGACACCCGCCTCCGCCGCCACCGACCACGATGTAGTCGTAATACGCGAAGTCGCTCTTCCCCCCCCGCCGCGACTGACTCTGCAGCACCTCTCCGCCAGGGTCAGCATTTTCTCGCGAGTAATTACCAATCCCCTGCGAATAGTTTCCGCCTTGCCGGTGGTCGCCGCCGCCGCCCGGGGACGGGAACCAGTCCTGGCGCGGCCGGCGAGGCTCGTCGACCCACTCGTGCGGGTCTTCTGGATCGCGCCGTTCCCGGTCCAGCTTGCGAACCAACTGCCGCAACGTCAGAGTCCGGACCGCCTCCAGGTTCGGGTTCGGTCGCCACGCATTCCCGCGAGCCTGCACCGGCATCGTCGCCTCGCACACATCCGTGCCACAACGGGAATACACGGCACACACGTGTGCGAACTGAAGCTACAGAAAGGTGGCTTTATTGCCGGACGTACATAGCTTGTGCCGGATGGCCCCCGGGGCACACCACACTCTAGCACACCCTGTCCTTCGCCTGGAACACTTACTAAGACGATTGGGAATACGAAGAGTTTCAACATGGGACACATATAACAGGAAAATGTCAAGCTTGACAACCGTAGTGCTCGGATAACCGTCCAGGTTGGCCATTGGCAACCGTTCAGAGCGAGCTGCATTACAGGCACAATGGCACGAAGCAGATTAATAGCAAGGCAGTCACAGTGTACATTCCTTTGGTCCAGTCCAAGACGCTTGGTCCAGGACACCCGTGGCAGATCCGTGGTAGACTCATGGTAGTCGGACCGGTGGTAGTCGGCATTGCTGCTAGTCGGACGGGCGGTATGCGGTTGAGCGCTTATTGATAGGCATAATTGTGGGTAGGAACCACGGGCGGTTGGCCACGGGCGGTTGGCCACGGCCAGTTGGCAGTGACAATGATGTGCATGTGGTGGGCCGATTAAGCGCTGAGTAGTCGGTCTACTTCTTCTGCGGACAGTGACCTTGCGTGCTGTTTATGTTTGAGTAGTTCCTCGGTCTTGAAGATGAGTTCTAGTCGGGCGAGTGCGCCGACAAATAGGCTGCCGATGACAGAGAGAAAGAGTTGTCCGATAAGGAGGAGGACGAATAATGTCTGGTGCCTGGTTTGTAGAATTGCGGGATTGATTTCACTGTGTTTGTTGGTAGGAAGCCGGTAAGTACGTTTGAGTACGTAGACGGTAAGGGCGACGGTCCATATGAGAAGGACGGCTACGGCCCAGGTGAGTCGTGCAGCGGTGACCATGGGGGGGGACTTGGCAAAAAGGCCGGCGAGACCGATGGAGCCGGCGGTCCAGGAGATCCCGACGACGACGAAACAAAGCCAACTGAATGGGTCACTCCACATACCGCGCCAAGACGCGTCCACATCCAACCAAGAAGGTGGGTTCAGGATTGAATCAGAATGCAACAAGATCGGCCATGTCGTCATCACTGCACACACGCCTTTAACACACATCAACCATAACACGAACAGCAAACGTAAAGTCCATGCGCTTGGTAATTCCACTAAAGAAGTCTGCCGCCGCAACGTTGTCGCAACCGACGACGACGACGCCAATGCGTTCGAACGCCGCTCCGAAGACGACCGACTGTCCGGATGAACAAGTACTGCATGCTCCGTCTCGCTCTCAGAAGGGCCAACCCTGTTGTCCACCTCCTCACCCGCGTTCGCATCCCTACCTGCAACAGGCGCCGATCTCATCCCCGCTTCGTTTTCTTCATTCGGGTTAAGGTGCATCGCCGCCTAAACTCGAACTAATAAACCTAAGGTGCATCCACGTTCGCATGAACCTTAACCAAATGGCAACCCTCCTTTCCAGGCTTAGAATCGGTGCTTCGGTCAGACCCTTCCGTCACACTTTTTTTGGTCAGACAGTTCGATTCGATGATTCAAGGCGTCGGATCATTTAGGTCTATGTCTTCCAGTGCGTTGTCTTGGCGTCTCGCGACCTGTGGGTGAATCAACGTACAACCCCCCATTTTATGTTACCCTTTTGCGCCTCCTGATTTGGGGGTGCAGCAGCATCAGACTTCTCGCATCGAGCACCTCTAGCCTTTGGGTCTCAATGGCGGGCGTCTGCGCCTTCAGCAGTTCTACCACGTAGTCCTTCAGCTGGGACAGCTCCCTGCGCACTCTTGACCTGGTAACCTCCGTCGTGTTGATAGATTTCTCCTCGTGTCCCATTTTGAAAAAAGCACTACAACATCTCCACCCTAATCACTTCAGGCGAGCCCGACCAGGCTAGCCATGCCACGCCACGCCGCCCGGCAAGTCAGACCGCACCGATCATGCCCAATGGTCGGGTGTCTGGCGCCTGATCTCAGGCGGAATGTCCGCATGCGGCAAGTGCAGCAAAGGAGACCGTCACCACGCAGAGAGGGAGTGCGAGATATGGCGGGACATAGATAGGAAATAAGCGGAGTTCTGACAACAGAATTCCGGCGCCAGGGATCGGCTGACGAGGACATGCCCAGGCGATCGTTGGCCCAAAAGACCGTTGTCTCAAGCGACCCTAGACTCAAGTCAGGCAAGCAGGTGTCGTCGCGCACCCCCACGGGCTCACGGGTGCGGGTTGCTGGCGTCAACCACCGTCAAGAAGTCTTCCGGGTCCGACGCTTCAGACGACTGGGTCAATTCGATTGCTTCGTGACATCTCTCGTCATCGTGCCCTAGAGCGGGAGGGGGTTCCCCCCGGACCAAGGGTTGGTCCCCCTGGGCCAAGGGTGCCCCCCCCGGCGCTAAGGGTGCCCCCCCCCGCGCCAAGGGCGGCCCCCCCAGGGCCAAGTGTGGCGCAGGGGGGAGTTCTGCTCCCGGGTCACCCTCCTCAGGCCTCTCGGGCTGCGCACAGGGACACTTGGTGTCCAGGTCGAAGGCTACGGCCAATACCCATACACCGACCAGGACCCAGGGGAGCAGGAAGCCCAGCATGAGCATGGTCTTGATGTGCAACTCCCTAGCAATCTCCAGCTGCATCCTACGCGGCAGCAACTGCCTCCTGCTCGTCCACAACTCCGCACCGGGCACCTCGGCCACCGCCTCCGTGTCCCTCACCTCCGGGTCCCTCGCCTCCGCCGCGCTCACCTCCGTCTGGGTCGCAGCTTGTGTCCAGTACACAGCCTCCACAACCGCAGGCAGGTCCAGAGGCAGCAGACCTGATGGGCCAGTCGCGGCCGTCACTGATGTTTCGTCGTCCGTGACATACTCGAACCCGGGTACGATCTCCCCAGGCAACACCTCCGCTGCAGGCAAGGCGTGTTCAGTTGCTTCAGTGTACACCTCGGGAACGTCAGGAATCTCGGGAACCTGGGGAACCACGCTGTACTCCGGGACTGGCGATTCGGCCTCCGCGTCCTCCAGAATTGCTGGGAACGGCTGCGGCCCTCCCGTCTCGATTAATCCGCCTGCTTGTTCCAAGGCAGCCTGCTCGGGAACTATGCCGCCTTGTTCCAGGGCAGCTTGCTCCGGCGCTCCCGCACCCAGGCCCAGAGCACCCTGGTCCAGGAGCTGCAGTTTCTTCGGTTGTTGGTGGTTGGCGTTTGCGCGGTCGGGATCCTCAGTAAAACTGAATTGGTCGAAGAGCCCCGGCATGCCTAAGATGCCTGACACAGCTTCTCCCATATTGAACTTCAGGGGAGGCTGCGGCCGCTGGTTGTCTGCGGAGAGGCGTGGCTTGGGAGAGTTGGTGTCTTCAGGACCCGGCCTGTCGGACCCGGACGTATGGTTGGTCTCGGCAGCACCGGGACTGCGCCCGACATCCAGGTTGGGTCCAGGTTCGGGGAGGTTAGAGACGAGGGGTGAGATAGGGCTGATGATGAGGTGTTCGTGTCTGGGCAGAGCAAGGGGTTGGTACTGAACGACAGCGCTCTGGACGAGGCCGGCGGTGAAGAGAAGGAAGGTACCGGCGATCAGCATCCGGAGTCCACGGTGGGAGATAGCGCGCTGGGCGAGTTGCGAGACGCCTAAGACCCACCCGACGCAGACGGAGCCGTACAGCGCAGCCAGAAAAAGCACCCACACTCCGGAGTACAAGTGCAGCTCCACCAACACGGTGCAGTACGCCACACCCAAGCTTAAATACGCGAAGGGCAACGCGCTGCCGAAACGGGCATTGCCGCGCGGGAACAAATGGTCCGCCGACCGGTTCATGCGCCGGTTCGCTGGTGGTCGCATTTCTCAAGTGGTGCCGTGCACCACCAACCATATTCCGGGGTCGTCGTACGCCTGCGCCGGGCGTCTGTAGACGTCTGGCATGCTGGCCACAGCACAAAAAATTAGTCGTGGATGTATGATAGGCGTGTGGCCGTTTGGGTAGCCAAAGAATATCGTGCGCACACACGTGTGTTTCAAAAAATACGAAAACGGCCAGTGAGTTGTATTCGGGTTTGCGGGCTGAATAGGTTACGAGTTCGTAAAAAGTCCCTCAACCCATAAAAAGCTAACGGCAGGGCCGGTCGGACCCCAATTTCATCCCAGCCAGATAGACATAACGCTATCGGTCCGGCTGGGTTTTTGGGGGAGAAAGAACACATCACCTATCATCCCACCAATACGTATAACGAGTATCTGAGGGAGCGAGGGAGTGCTTGACGGCGAGAAGAGGTAGCGACGTTAGGTCTGAAGGTTGACGGGGTTGATGGTGCCCAGACACGCCCGGTTTCGAACCATGAGCTTTTCGGCTATGCTTCCCAGCAAATAATATTAGCCCAGAAGATCGTCTACTTTCATTCGGGAGCTGGTCCAGGAAGATGTCCGTGCACCCACAGTCGCGCAGAATGTGCGTATCTTCGTCGCGGTCCAAATCTTCATGTTTCGGGCGGTGAGCTAGAGACATGCGACTCTTGGCGGAAGTGCCGAGTGCCGCTGCGGGGTGACGAAGGCCGAGACGCCGCAGCAACATCCGCCGCCGACTCCCGTCGAGCGATCGAACGGTCGTCTGGGGCTGGCGTGGGCGGTTGCTGCCGCGCTTCGGCCTCGCTCTGCGACACGAGCTGCTTGTCTAGCCTTTTTTTATCGTCCCTGCTGTAATCTTATCGCTCGACGGATCGAGTTTTATAAAGTGAAGGTAGACACGAGCAAGTGGAGTTCTGTCGCAATGAGACCCTTGGGCGGAGACGGGTGGGTAATTTTGATTGGCTATTTTGTGCGAAATGGTGTTGTGTAAGACGGGAGTTCGGTTTGGAGCATGTCCTGGTCGTGGGTTGGCGTTGCATGAGTACCAAGCGAAGGCGCTGATGGACAAGTACGGGTTGCCTACGCAGATGGGTTTGACGGCGGATAGTTCGGCGGAGGCGGGACAGAGTGCGAAGGCGTTATTGTCTAAGGGAGCGGGGACGGTGGTATTGAAGGCTCAGGTGTTTGCGGGTGGTCGTGGTAAGGGTTCGTTGTCTTCTGGTTTGAAGGGCGGCGTGCAGTTTGTCAAGAGTCCGGAGCGTGCCGCTGAGTTGGCTAGTCAGATGTTGGGGCACCGACTGACAACGCATCAGACGCCTGCGGAGGGTCTGGAGGTGCGCAAGTTGTTGTTGACGGAAGCGGTGGATATTGCGCGTGAGTTTTACCTGGCGATCATCCTGGATCGCACGCAAGGCGGGCCTTGCATTGTGTGTTCCCGCGAAGGTGGTGTGGATATCGAGGAGGTGGCCAAGACCAAGCCCGAGGCGATTCGCGTAATTCCAGTGAACATTGCTAAAGGCGTGGGCGTCCGCGAACTTGCTGCTGTGTGCGAAACGCTGCTGCCTACAGTCGAGTCAGCCCTCCCAGCCTCCGCCGCCGGACTGAGTGACCGACAGAAAAAAGCAGTATACCGCTCGCTCTGTGCGCAACTCCAAGACACTGTCAAAAAGCTCTACCAACTCTTTGAGAAGTCGGACGCAAGCCAAATTGAGATCAACCCAATCGCCGTCACCGGCGATGATCGCGTTGTCTGTGTCGATGCCAAACTCGGTTTCGATGACAACGCCTTCTTCCGCCAGAAAGAACTATTTGCGCAAGAAGACACGAGCGTTCGCTGTCCGCGAGAATTGGCCGCTGAGGCTGAACATATGAATTATGTTAGTATGGATGGCAATGTCGGGTGTCTTGTTAATGGTGCTGGTCTCGCCATGGCCACCATGGACCTGTTGACTGTGCATGGCGGTAGTCCCGCCAACTTTTTGGATCTCGGTGGCGGTGCAACCAAGGAACAGGTACTCAAGTCCTTCGAACTTCTCACTTCCGACCCCAAGGTCCAAGCCATCTTTGTCAACATCTTCGGAGGCATCACCCGCTGCGATGTCGTTGCCCAAGGCATACTCGAAGCCGCGCAACTTTGTAACATGGATCGCCCACTCATCGTACGTCTAGCCGGCAACAACGCAGAGAAGGCCAAACAGATACTATCGAACCCACCCAAAGGGCTCAACATACACTACGTACAAGATTTCTCCAACGCCGCCAAAACCGCTGTCGAAATAGCCAACCGGCCCCAAAGGTTACCTTACACACTCACCGCTTAAACACACCCTCCGACTTGGACCCTCTGACTTGGACCCACCGACTTGGACCCCCCAAAACGGACCACCCAAACAGTACATAGGACTTGGCGTTTCTCAGGTGCGGTCCCAACAAGCGTCACTGCTGATGAGAAATCAACTGCAAACTTTTGTCTAGATAGAAAAACTGTCAACTGCCATTTGTGTTGTTTAAACCTGACGCGCGGGTCATCCTGACAGCAATTTGAGATTGCCGACTGACTGACTGACTGGCACGCTACCCCATGGTATTCCCCCACGTTGTCCTCACCGGGCTTCTTCTGTCCGCCAACCAGACCGGGGAATAAAAAGGTTATGATGACGAGAAGCGATGAGTCCCGAGTGCGGCGAGGTGGGTTTAGTCGCGGAGTTTCGGTGTTGGAACAGAGTGCTGTTGCTGTGGACGATAGTCGGGCGGCGCATTGGTTCCTGGCGGCTCATACGTTGGCGCTAAGTTGTATGGCCCTGGCAGCGCCCTTTGTGCGTCGCGCGATGGTTCCGGGACATACAGGTCCTGACTTTGTCTGGGGCCTTTATGAGGAGCGAGACCCTGGCAAGACCGGTGGACCACGCGACGTAGTACCCGCCCACTACTACCTCTTCTACGCAGCCGCCGCCTTCGCAGCACTCACGCTCCTCCTTAGCGTCGTTTGGACCTGCGCACGCGCTGATGCAGACCAAGAACTCACCCCCAGACCCGTCTCCACACGCACCTCGATCGACGACGACATTGCCGAAGAAATCTTCCTCGACCGAGACCTCAACGCCATCCGCCGAAGACGCCTGCCCTACTAACGCCCTTACAACCTAAAAGGTCGAAACCAGAAAGCTCCCGCGGCCAGTGTGATTTTATGATCTTGACAATCAGCAACTGTTCAATATCATCCGGACATCGGCGGTATATCAGCGGTGGCCATGTGGAGTAAGGCAACTGTCGACGAAGTGGCGGAGTAATAAGTCGGTATGGAGAATGTGCACACACTTTTGCATCCAAGGTTTTGACTTTCCTATCGGAATAACTTTCCCCGTCACTGGGATCGCTGCCTTACTCCACATGACGATGGTACATTGGCTTCCCAGCAGTGCCGGCACGCCCTTAATCTCGCGGGAGAGAGTATTCATGACACCTTGCCTATTGGCCGCAGCTGAATATTTTGTGACCGTCGTATGGAGTAATCCACAAATGTATTTCGTCGTATGGAATGAAGGTCTAGGCACCCGTATTATTGCAACAAGGACTCCAAAAAAATGAACACCAATGCCTAGTATGTTGTACTGACGCATTGTCTTAGCCATGTTAGCCAATATGGGACGAGGATGGTTAACTATTCTGCCGCCGTCCTCGTCCCCCTCTTGTGGAACCGCGTACTGTCCCCTACACTTTCAGCTTTGTCCGGCGGCACGACAGGGCGGGTGTGTTAAGCCGTGATCTTTTGTCTCGCCGATCGTTGGCATGCCGTAGTTCTTTCTGAAAGTCAGGAGCAAGAAAAGTCAGGAGCAAGAAAGGTTGTTTTCTTTTGCGTCCTTGGGGGGTGCGCGCAATGTTTGTTCGCGCAACATAATAAGCCGTCGGGGTCTACGACCGGGGCTCGACGGTCGCTTTGATCCCTGGCTTTATGGGCGTGCGGAGGAGTTGGAGGATTGCTGCCCCTCCAATGACATGTAGTTGAAGATGAAGGTTTCGCGAGGTGGAAAGGTTAAGCTGATCAGACGGCAACGAAGAGGACAATCGAGGCTACGTGGCAGGCAGCGAAGTGGAGATGACAGCTGATTGGCTTGGGATTGTGGTCATGTGAATCGAGTGAGGGCAGTTCGCCGGTCTATGTGTACGTAGACAGATGCACGTCGGCAGACGATGGACACACAGTTGATGAGAGCGCGCGTTGACGGCACCTGAGTAAGATATGGTTCGCAGCCGGACTATCAGGAGACATGTGACTTGATTACGGTTATGACGAGTTCGAGATTTCGACACGCCGCTAGTTTCGGGTTGGTTGAAGTAATGAGAGACGGATAAGAGAGGCCCACGGTTGTCACGGGTACGCCGGATTAGAAAGTGTCCGGTGTGCGGTTGCATGTGAGCGATGGATGGCCCGAGTGGAACGGCTTGATAGCTGTGAGTAATTTCCTATGACGTTGTTAGGAGTGTCGTGGACCCACTGGAGAGATACCCACTGGCAGACGCGATACCGTACTGTAGTGAGTGCTGAATGCACCGCCAGCTCTACGTTTCGTCTCGACCACATGGTTTTTTTTTTTTAACATTGTCTTCGCATGAAGGCTTTAATCTCCGTAAGATTGGATGATGGGGGTGCTGGCATTGTGTTGGTGAGCGGTGTGTGCCGCAGCGACTTCGAGTGCATGACCGATACAGAGGACGGCAACATACTGCACCAGTCCCTGGCGAAAGGGCCGCCCGAGTGGAAGAGTGGAAGCGGTAAGAGCAGAACCTCTTCTGTTCCCAAAGGTTGTATTGACAACGAAGAAGAGAACCTTACAAGCTTGTGGCGAAAACCTTGGTTTGTCACGAGTATCGGAGCTGCAGCGGGCGCAACTGCGCTGTCAGGGTTCCTCTCCTGGTGGTGTCCCGTAGGAGCGGAGGCCGCTCCTACGGCTGACGGTTCCGCAATCAAAAGTTACAGTTCGGCCTCCGAAATTAGAAGGTACTACCAGACCTTGTCAACCAACTGCGATAAAGGTTCGTCTGTGTTCGACTGGATTATGAAGTGTATGCCCGATCCCCTACCGCGACCTGAGCCCAGCATTGATGACATCAACTCATTGATTTCCGGCCATGAGTTGGCCACACTGAGATTACCTTGGGTGGCTTCCAATAAGATGCGCCATGGGGGGAAAATGGAAGCGAGTATGAGGAACGCGACTGTGGACGGTTGGAAAGAGTTCGACTGGTCCTTTTGTGACAAACCCGGCGGCAGGATACTTTGCACGGATCACACTGATCATTACTATGGCGCTCCGTTCAAGTTCGATTTTCCCACTGTCTGGGAGGCGGTTGTCCACATCGCTGACCCTACTCAATGTTCGTTCCAGTACCACAGCTCAGATGAGCAGAAGCGTCTTGCAGCGATTCGTCGCGGAGTGGCCGGTGGAAAATGGGCTGGCATTGACGTAGACAATGCTAGCGAAGATATGCTATACCAACTAGGACTTAAAGTTCTCAGCTTGAGCACCGTCACAGGCAGCGTGACGGAGAATTGCATTGAGGCCCGTGTGGGCCACTACAAGTTTGATGAAGAGGGACCCTGTTACACCACGGAATTTGGGGTCTCTGTACGCGACATGGCACTGTATAACACCGCAATGACAAGAGGCTATGACGCGTCCCAAATCGATTGGCAGTGCTCGCTTTTCGAGGACGAAGAGGACGCGAAACAGAAGCTTGAAGAGTTTTGGAGAACGGAAGTGACCGGGTGGATGCCGGAGGAGCGTGGCTAGTACTGACTGCGATTCATTCCCCAACGTGGAGACGCGGAGACGACATCAAGGGTTCTCCTAGAAAAAGTAATAATTTTTTGTGGGAGATCGTTATGGTCTGGACGGCTCACGTCCCTCCTATCTCAGAAGGAATGTGGAGCTGTGCCCAGGAAGACCATTTGGGCGTGAATCACCTTGGTGTCTCCGGTCCGTTCAGGGACACGGTCTGTTTAGGGACGATGCTGCGAGTCGACGAACACCGCGACGATATCTCCTGGTTGTAGGTCGGTGGGTCTTCCTCCAACGGCTGGCTTCCAAGGAGGGACTCGGTCATTCGCTCTCGGAGCATTTGTTGTTGCACTTACTTACATTCTTATTCCGAGCTAAATAAGGTCATATCCGAGCTACATTATCAAAAACGGGGAGTCTACCAAAAACTACCTCATACAAAAACATGTTTATCGCGGAGTGGGGCGTTACGTCGCGCAGGCGAGCGGCTGCATCTGCCATTAGTTCCCTGTCTCTGATGCCTTCTTGCCATAGGGCCTCGAGTACGCTGTGTAGTTCTTGGTGAGAGAGTGCCGGGAGAAGGTCTGCACGGCATCCAACGTTGGAACGATTTTGGCCATCATATATCAGGTTGCGTGGCCGATGATGACGAGGATATTCCAGTCGGCGTCTCCCATGTGTGTTGGTCCCACGTGGTCGTATCGCGACGTGAATGGCGGCGGCCTTTCCCAGCGTCCCTGCCGGTAGTTCTTGCTGGTGCACTGGCTGTGTCTTCAATCTCGCGCAGATGAGGCACTTTCTGATCATTTTTTCGATGTCCTGGGCACAGCCGGGCCAGTAGTATAGGGCTTGTACCCTCTTGCGCGTCTTGCCCACTCCCAGGTGGCCGCTCGGACCACACAGCTGCGACCTTCTGTAATATCCGGTCCAATAATCTCCTTCGTCGTCGCCGGCGCATCTGCTGAGCCAGTCGACTATGTTGTTGGCGTCGCCGGAGATGATTCGACGGGGAAGTCGTAGCCGCCTAGTGCGAGTGCCCATCCGAAGACCTTGCCCTTGTCCACGCTGGTGAGGTACCGTAGGTTGTTGTGGTCTGTCCTGACCGTGAAGTGCGAGAAGCTGACGTAGTCTCGCCACTTCTCGATGGCCCTTTTGAGCGCGAACAATTCCCGTTCTCTTGTGTCCCAGCGCGACTGCGTGGGGTTGAACTTCTTGCTGTCGAACTCGGTGGGTACCTCGGCGTCTCCTTGCACCTGTTTGAGTTCAGCCCCTAACTCGTTCTCTATGATGTACTTGCCATTGTCGGTGGGGGCATGCAGAGTGACGGTGTTCTGGACGGCCACTCATAGGTCTTGTCCTTCTTCAGCAGGTCGAATAGCGGCGCCTTGATGTGTTAGAACTCGGGGATGAAGGGTCACAGGTAGCCGCACATCCCTAGAAGGCTATGTGGCTCCTTTTTGCTGTTGGGGGCCGGTGCGTTGACGATTGCTCGAGACTTCTTCTCCTAAACCCTTATGCCCGTCTGGCAGACGACGTGCCCGAGGCACTTCACTTGCGCTTGCACACCTGGAAGAGCTTAACAGGACACCGGAACCCCGAGTCGTGGAACCCCGAGTCGTGGAAAGCCCGAATCGTGGAAAGCAGGAAGGCCCGATCGTTAAACCCCATCGAAGCAGGATGACCAACCGGTCAGCGCCGGAGAAGCATCGGAAGGTGATATCGTAGAAGAGTAAACCCACAAGGAGATCGGCACCCGCGCACCAACCAGTTAACTATATTTCATCAATGCTGGGTGACACGCAAGAAGCATCGATGCACAGCGAAGTGTAAGAATCGCCCGAAAGGGTTGGTAGTATCGGGAGGTAGCAGAGTCGCAAATGGATCGACTCATCAAGCTGAAATGAGACGCTTAAGCGACACAAATAAATGTCATACAGAATAAGAGGCTTGTCTGGTCCAGAACAACGTGATAGCGGCGCCCGACTGAAATGCTCGGTTTGGGACTAACTCCTCACCCGCACAAGTTTCAAGAACTTTCCCGCTAGAAAATTAGTTTCAGGCCGACAAAAGATGGTGGTGAGGCTCTCAATCGGTAGAAGCGCTCTGTACGACTATTCGTGTAACCAAGTACTGGAACGGGAGAACAAAGTCGAACTGAACGACCTAGTTCTAATAGCACTGAATCCTAAAGAAGTCTATCGACACGCGGTCACGACAGATAGCTCTGAGAAGATCGTCCCAAAATTGTCCCTACCGCATCCCTACCCGTGTGTCTCCTAACGGCTTTCGGATTACCGCACATAGTCTCCTCGACTGGAGTTCTAAAGAAGTCACCCGCGACCAGGTAAAGAAGATCCAACCACCGAACGATCAAGACCGTCTGGAAGAATGGATACGACTAGTCGCCTCCGACGTTGGCACAACTCGGGAGTACTCAAGACGCGGAAGAGAGCAGCCACCATGTTCTACTGGCCCGGACTCGCGGAGGACGTTGTGAGAGTAGTAAGAGAATGCCTGATATGTGCCCAGACTCGAACGAGAGCTCGGCTGACGCACAACGTGCCGAAGGGGAGTCTGGAGAATCCCAGCGCGATGGACACTGTAACCCTGGATCACGTAGGACCCATGCAGCTAGATGGGCAGAATTGGTGGCTCCTAGTTGCAATGGACCACGCGACG